CTTTAAGACATGAAGGTCAGTCAATATGGAACATTTCAAGAACTTTGAATGTTTCTTCAAGTGCAGTAGCAAAAACCATCAAGCGCTATGATGAAACTGGCTCTCATGAGGACCGCCACAGGAATGGAAGTCCCAGAGTTACCTCTGCTGCAGAGGGGGAAAATTTTTTGGGGGGGATTTCATGTAATGAACATACGCAAAATAGTCCAAATTGGTGAAGTGAAATTAAAAAAATAACTTGTTTCAAAAAATTCTAACAAGGGCTATTTGACCAAGAAGGAGAGTGATGGAGTGCTGCATCAGATGACCTGGCCTCCACAATCCCCCGACCTCAACCCAATTGAGATGGCTTCGGATGAGTCGGACGGCAGAGTGAAGGAAAAGCAGCCAACAAGTGCTCAGCATATGTGGGAACTCCTTCAAGATTGTTGGAAAAGCATTCCAGGTGAAGCTGGTTGAGAGAATGCCAAAAGTGTGCAAAGCTGTCATCAATGCAAAGGGTGGCTATTTGAATAATATTTTTTTGGTTACTACATGATTCCATATGTGTTATTTCATAGTTTTTATGTCTTCATTATTATTCTACAATGTACAAATTAGTAAAAATTAAGAAAAACCCTTGAATGAGTAGGTGTGTCCAAACTTTTGACTGGTACTGTATATATATTTGTACTCCGGACTCCGACATTGCTAGTCCTAATATTTCTATATTTCTTAATTCCATTCTTTTACTTTTAGATTTGTGTGTATTGTTGTGTATTGTTAGATATTACTCCACTGTTGGAGCTAGGAACATAAGCATTTCGCTAAACCCGCAATGACATCTACTAAATATGTGTATGCGACCAATAAGATTTGATTTGATTTGATTGTGGTTGCAAGGACACACCCAAGAAACACCCACATCAAACCACATCCCCAAGTCAACTCATGTTTGGTTTCTGTCATGGCCGCCAGCATTTCTTGAAGAGCAAGCCAAAAAACGAGGCCAAATCAGCGGGTGCAGTTCCCCTTTAAGTTACACTGAGAACCCAGTTTTAGTACCCTGTTGGTAACAGAAGCAGGCACAACAAGCATGGTCCCAGCTGGTAATGCAACAAGAGTTTGTCCTGTCCAGTACGGTTAGTCCAAATGGGTTGGATTATCTGCTGGCTACTGGAGGTGCTAATACTAATCACACAATAACTGATCAGATAATACTGATCACACACTTACTGACCTCATCACTGAGTAGCAATACAATGGTAGAGAGAACAGTGTCAATCAAAGCTAAAGTACAAGTTAGTGAAAGGCTGTTCACGAAAGTAATGTAACACTTTGCACATTGAGAATAGGTGGTCTCATTTTACTGCATAGGCTAGCTCTCTCACACTCTTATTAACAACTGTGAAACAACTAAACATGACTGATGTTATCTAGCTGGTTAACTGTAAATATAGACAGGGTTTCCTGGGAATTATATTTTATGATATGTGGCAACAAATCCATAACAACTGAGTTTTAAAATTGGCTAATGTAGGAGAAAATGGCATGTTATGAAAACATTTTTTTACCCATGATTTATTATTATCATATAGGTGCATTGGGTCTACAGACACTGAGACCGAATAATAACACAAAACATCACTCCCCACTGCCCAGTGAGTGATGAACGAATAGTCTATATTTATTTTGAGAACTAAATATAGCAAAACACTGTAGCCTAGATGTCTGCATCTGCCCTGTTGCATAATGATCTCTGATGAGACATGCCATCCTAGGTCGGAACCTCTGTCCATGATCCCGTACATTTCTGATGGTCATGTTGTCTGCCTTCCTTCCCTATTATTCGCTATGATAACGGCTACACTCTAAATGAATGTAGCCTAATAATTGTCCAGCCAAAGCGAAGACGCTGGATACGAAGGAATAAGCGAGCAGGTTATCAATACAATGACCAGCATGCATCGATAGGGATGGAGAGGGAGATCGTATCAGCCAATCAGGGCACGGTTCTATATTCCCACCAGTGAACCACCTGTCTGTCTGTCAAAGCCTGCGACATGAAGTAAGGTACCGATATGCTCTGCATTTACGCAATTGTGTGGTGTGACCGCTAGGTGGGGACATTGGATCTTACATCTCATACATCTCATGATTCATGATAAAGTTATGATTGTAATTAGGCAGTGTTGAATTGTTCTGTTAAATGTTAAATGAGGCCTTTGATGTGATGTGAATAATAAAGTATTACAATGCTATAATTTTAGGAACAGCTATTATGTTTCATTTGGTCAACTTTGGTCAAAAATGTGGTCTAATTAAGGATGTAAAAACGTTTTATCAGGGCAAAATGAAAAGAAAAATCACATGGTTAAGTGATGTATTAATTTTGCATTGCAAGATTTGTAGAATGTATTGTCATTCAAAGCACACTTCCTGGTTATAGACGAGAGAGGGGCTTGGCGTGTGTGTGTGTGTGTGTGTGTGTGTGTGTGTGTGTGTGTGTGTGTGTGTGTGTGTGTCTTCCAACGAATCCTCTCCATGTCGGCTTGTGTTACCCTTCCTCTTTGCTTCACTGAACTGACAGAGGGTCCAGGCTTTTCTGCTCTCTCTCTCTCTCAATTCAATTTCAATTTTTCAATTTAAGGGTTTTATTGGCATGGGAAATGTATGTTAACATTGCCAAAGCAAGTGAAGTAGATAGTAAACAAAAGTGAAATAAACAATAAATATTAACAGTAAACATTACACTCAGAAGTTCCAAAAGAATAAAGACATTTCAAATGTCATATTATGTATATATACAGTGTTGTAACAATGTGCAAATAGTTAAAGTACAAATGGGAAAATAAGTCAACATAAATATGCGTTGTATTTACAATGGTGTTTGTTCTTCACTGGTTGCCCTTTTCTTGTGGCAACAGGTCACAGATCTTGCTGCTGTGATGGCACACGGTGGTTTTTCACCCAGTAGATAAGGGAGTTTATCAAAAATGGGTTTGTTTTCGAATTCTTTGTGAATCTCTGTAATCTGAGGGAAATATGTGTCTCTAATATGGTCATACGTTTGTCTGGAGGGTAGGAAGTCCAGCTCAGTTTCCACCTCATTTTGTGGGCAGTGTGCACATAGCCTGTCTTCTCTTGAGAGCCAGGTCTGCCTACGGCGGCCTTTCTCAATAGCAAGGCTATGCTCACTGAGTCTGTACATAGTCAAAGCTTTCCTTAAGTTTGGGTCAGTCACAGTGGTCAGGTATTCTGCCACTGTGTACTCTCTGTTTAGGGCCAAATAGCATTCTAGTTTGCTCTGTTTTTTTGTTAGTTCTTTCCAATGTGTCAAGTAATTCACTTTTTGTTTTCTCATGAATTGGTTGGGTCTAATTGTGTTGTTGTTGTTGTCCTGGGGCTCTGTGGGGTCTGTTTGTGTTTGTGAACAGAGCCCCAGGACCAGCTTACTTAGGGGACTCTTCTCCAAGTTTCTTTTTTTTTTTTTTTTTTTTTCAGGGGGTAGATCAGCTTAATATTGCAGATAGATTGTAACTTCTATCAATGTAATTGTCTGCATCACTTCCAATCCCCCATGTTTTTTATATATATACTCCCCTTTATTACTTTTCAACCCCGCCATCCTTTCCCTACTTGGGGTAAATTAGTGAACAACAATGCCCAGGCCTCTACTTCCAGCCTATACTTACTATCTACACCTTATGGACACAGTCAATTTTACAATAATTCTATTTTATTAGTTTTTTTTGTTTTTTGCTCCTGAACTTCTTCTACTCTCAACCTCTCCGATCATTTTCATGATGTCCATCCGGTTTGCTTCTATATGCCATATCTTTCTAACTGTGCTCTTTCCCAAAAGCTCCCAACATACAACCTATATACTTATTATGGACACAGTATGCTTACATTATTAGTTATCTTGTTATTATTTGTTGTTATTTGTTATTAGTCCCATCCTTCAACTCCATTCAATACCTCCCATCTATCTCTTAACACCATCCATATACTCTTATCCAAGTTAATCTCTCTGTAGGTGATGGCTTTGTTATGGAAGGTTTGGGAATCGCTTCCTTTTAAGTGGTTATAGAATTTAACGGCTCATTTCTGGATTTTGATCATTAGCGGGTATCGGCCTAATTCTGCTCTGCATGCATTATTTTGTGTTTTTTGTTGTACACAGAGGATATTTTAGCAGAATTCTGCAATTTGGTGTTTGTCCCATTTTGTGAATTATTGGTTGGTGAGCAGACCCCAGACCTCACAACCATAAAGGGCAATGGGTTCTATAACTGATTCAAGTATTTTTAGCCAGATCCTAATTGGTATGTCAAATGTTATGTTCCTTTTGATGGCATAGAAGGCCCTTCATGCCTTGTCTCTCAGATAGTTCACAGCTTTGTGGAAGTTACCTGTGGCACTGATGTTTAGGCCGAGGTATGTATAGTTTTTTGTGTGCTCTAGGGCAACGGTGTCTAGATGGAATTTGTATTTGTGGTCCTGGCAACTGTCAGGGCCCAGGTCTGACAGAATCTGTGCAGAAGATCTAGGTGCTGCTGTAGGCCCTCCTTGGTTGGTGACAGAAGCACCAGATCATCAGCAAACATAAAGACATTTGACTTCAGATTCTAGTAGGGTGAGGCCGGGTGCTGCAGACTGTTCTCTCTCTCTCTCTCTCTCTCTCTCTCTCTCTCTCTCTCAAAACCCCAGCACAGGGTGATGGGCAACAACAGTGAATCTAAAAAGGCTTTCATTTCAGCTTCAGCTGTATATGACGGTAAAACTTTACTTAAAGCATTCAGGTATAATGCATTGGTAGTTGTTATAAGCATGTATAAGCCCCTGTTGTGTTTTATAAATCAACTGAAATATGTTATTTCTTTCTGTGGTATTTTGTTTTACATATTCTAAATGGCTATTATACTTTTTACATTTCGTGGTAATTTTGTGGTCATTTCGTGATTATTTTCAAACCTCTTCAAACTACTCCTATAACAAAATAAGAACTGAGAAACAGATGATGCAAAAACAAGTATCATTTATTAGAAAATATGATATTGTATTATTTGGAATGCAAATGAACAATGTCCTGTATGGGCACGTTATTCAGTGTTTCCCCTTGTTGGACTGACGGCGGAGGCGGCGTGCTCTCTTCTTAGTTGAACCACGGGGGGTCACCAACACTGGAGCGGTTTGAGCATCTTTACAGCTGTCTGTCTCCCTCTCAGCTCCTCTCTCCTTTTGCTCATCTCCATGGAGCTCTAATGCGACCATTATCTATGGAAAGAAAATAAACTTAGTCTTATTAGGAAAACAAAACCATATTTTAATTCATGTTCCAAGGTCAAATGAATTGATAACAATGTGGTGATTTCTTAAGTCTTTACAGTGACATGTAAGTAATACTGCATGTCAGCTTAGGCAATATATATATAACTACAATGGGTAAATGTCACTATTTGGACCTATTCTATTGTTGTTCTTAAAGCCTTTCTCAGACCCCCTCATACCCCTAATCTCTCTTTCACATCACATTACCTGCAGTAGTCCTCTCACACTGATGGTGAGCAGCAGGCCCATTCCGTACAACCAGCAGCAGAGAGCCAGAAACATGCAGCATGCAGCCTCTATCCTCCTCTCTTCTGCCCCATTAATCACTTCCACCATCTTCTTCCACACAAGCTCACTTGCTCCCGCTCTCTCCCTACTCCTGAGCTCAGCTACTCGGGGGCGAAGCGTTCTGAGGCTGGCCGTAGAATCACTGGTTGTCTGGTGCAAAGCACTAACATCTCTGTATTTCTGGTCAATACTGTTTCTGGTCTGGGTGGTGGTGGGCTTGTCCAAGCCACAATGGCCCATAGGGCAGGAGCCTATCTCCTGTTTTTGTAGCATGAGGCAGCTTGATGTACACCCCCTGGATAGGACACAAGTCTGTCGCAGGGCCTTACCCCCAATCCATCTCCTTAATGTGTGCCAAGCTGAGAGGCACCGGGTCCCGTTTTTAGAGTCTTTGGTATGATTGGACCGCGGATAAACCACCCGACCTTCCAATCTCAGGGCGGACACGCTAACGACAAGGCCACTGAGTTGGTTAGTGTTGTTTGTAGCTACCCGGGTAGCAGTGGGTTCCAAGCTGACCATAACACAAGCCTCTCCAGTGCACTTGTGCAAACTGTGTCCAGTGGTCTCGTTGGTGTTCTGTGTGGTCCAGGGTCGTTGATGGAAGTTGATGGTGTTGGTCTTCTTCCACACAAGCTCACTTGCTCCCGCTCTCTCCCTACTCCTGAGCTCAGCTACTCGGGGGCGACGCGTTCTGCGGCTGGCCGTAGAATCACTGGTTGTCTGGTGCAAAGCACTAACATCTCTGTATTTCTGGTCAATACTGTTTCTGGTCTGGGTGGTGGTGGGCTTGTCCAAGCCACAATGGCCCATAGGGCAGGAGCCTATCTCCTGTTTTTGTAGCATGAGGCAGCTTGATGTACACCCCCTGGATAGGACACAAGTCTGTCGCAGGGCCTTACCCCCAATCCATCTCCATAATGTGTGCCAAGCTGAGAGGCACCAGGTCCAGTTTTTAGAGTCTTTGGTATGATTGGACCGCGGATAAACCACCCGACCTTCCAATCTCAGGGCGGACATGCTAACGACAAGGCCACTGAGTTGGTTAGTGTTGTTTGTAGCTACCCGGGTAGCAGTGGGTTCCAAGCTGACCATAACACAAGCCTCTCCAGTGCACTTGTGCAAACTGTGTCCAGTGGTCTCGTTGGTGTTCTGTGTGGTCCAGGGTCGTTGATGGAAGTTGATGGTGTTGGTCTTCTTCCAAACAAGCTCACTTGCTCCCGCTCTCTCCCTACTCCTGAGCTCAGCTACTCGGGGGCGACGCGTTCTGCGGCTGGCCGTAGAATCACTGGTTGTCTGGTGCAAAGCACTAACATCTCTGTATTTCTGGTCAATACTGTTTCTGGTCTGGGTGGTGGTGGGCTTGTCCAAGCCACAATGGCCCATAGGGCAGGAGCCTATCTCCTGTTTTTGTAGCATGAGGCAGCTTGATGTACACCCCCTGGATAGGACACAAGTCTGTCGCAGGGCCTTACCCCCAATCCATCTCCATAATGTGTGCCAAGCTGAGAGGCACCAGGTCCCGTTTTTAGAGTCTTTGGTATGATTGGACCGCGGATAAACCACCCAACCTTCCAATCTCAGGGCGGACACGCTAACGACAAGGCCACTGAGTTGGTTAGTGTTGTTTGTAGCTACCCGGGTAGCAGTGGGTTCCAAGCTGACCATAACACAAGCCTCTCCGGTGCACTTGTGCAAACTGTGTCCAGTGGTCTCGTTGGTGTTCTGTGTGGTCCAGGGTCGTTGATGGAAGTTGATGGTGTTGGTGTTCAGTTCAATGTGAGGCATGCTGGCCCACTGCCAAATGCCCATGGGGGGCATCAGGTTATCCCGAAAATCCTTGCCGTCCAGATGGTGTAATGCCAAGATTACATACACCAACAATTTAATACTGGAAGAGTACAAAGCCATCTCTCAATCAGTAAAATTCAAAAAGCAACTACTCTGTACAGAGATAGGTGAGTTGTGGTGTTAAGAATGTTTGATAGGACTGTTGTGCCATACAGTGGTCTATGATGTCATAGAGGGCATCCAACATGTCACCTAGGTGAAGATAACTAGAATGTCACCCCACCCTCCTTTATGACATCATTGCGATATAGATGCGGTAAAGAGGTTAATCGAACTCAACCAAAACAAAGGAATTGCCATGGCTGTGAGGGAAAGGGCTGTGAGGGAAAGGGCTGTGTGGGAAAGGGCTGTGGGGGAAGATCCTGAGTCTCCTCATTGCCCTCCTCATTGATCCCATGTGGCTTAGTTGGTAGAGTGTGGCGCTTGCAACGCCAGGATTGTGGATTCGATTCCCATGGTGGACCAGAAAGAAAAGTGTATGCGCTTACAAGTCGCTCTGGATAATTTAGGCTATTGTTTATATGTGTATTTCACACTATGTTGAGGTAGAATGTTTGTGTAGTATGTTTGTGTGTGTGTACAATGTGTGTGGGGGCGTGTGTGTGTGTGTACAATGTGTGTATGTGTGTATGTGTGTGTGTGTGTGTGTGTGTGTGTGTGTGTGTGTGTGTGTGTGTGTGTGTGTGTGTGTGTGTGTGTGTGTGTGTGTGTGTGTGTGTGTGTGTGTGTGTGTGTGAACGAGTTGCCTGGCGACAGTGGCTGCATTAACACAGGTAGCCCAATTCAGGGGTGTAATCATTAGTCCAAACAGTTGCATCAAATTGAAGTAGGTCCCTCCCCGTTTCGTTCCGTTTGCTTCCGTTAAGGAAACGTTTTACAACAGAATCTGCTTAATGAATACACTCCTGATATTTTTCCACGTATTGGTCTTTTGACCAATCAGATCAGCTCTTTCTACAATAATTGGGTAAAAGATCAGAATCTGGCTGCCAGTGTGTACTTACATCGAAATATAATCATTATATTTCTATGGTGTATAGACAGTTGCGTTTCCGCGCTCCTCACATGAACGCGCAAACTCTCTCCCGTGTATCGATGAAGCTGGTTGAAACATGGCGGACTTCCTGCCGACCCGATCCGTGCTAAACCACTTCTTCCCCGCTTGCCTGCTTACCAGCAACGAAGTGGAACAGCTGAGGAAATCTAAGGAGATTGACAAAAGTATTTCCCGGGACAAAACCTACGTGAAACGGCTAGTAAAGATACTTCTACTGGGCGCGGGCGAGAGCGGCAAGTCCACTTTCCTCAAACAGATGAGGATCATCCACGGGCAGGACTTCGACCAGCAAGCTCGAGAAGAGTTCCGGGCAACAATTTACAGCAATGTTATCAAAGGTAACTAGGGAGAAAGTCTACGGGACTATATCTAAAAAAAGTTAACGTTACATTAACATTCTTAACGTTCGTCTTTCGGGCCCTACTGTAACTTGAGCGGTGAAAACTTTTTGGCAGAGTTTCCATTCTGTTTATAAGTTGAGCTGCTAGCCGAAGTTAGCAACAGATTAGCTTGCTACTAGGGGTTTAGCTTAAGAAATACACATTCCCCGTTTAGTGGAGTAACGCCCGTGTTGATGACTATTGGCTGGTGTGGGAGTATCTCTGTTTCTAATGTAAAATTGCAATTTTATGTTATAACTAACTAACTAAATCAGATACACACTGCAAAAAAGGCATTAGGACCCCTCTTTAGAAAATATGACTTCCTGCTGTCAACTCTTCTAACGTTATTCGTTTAGGTTTTTTTCAGTGTCCGTTTCGTTTGAACAGTGGTGTAACATGCCTCCAGAGTGACCAAACTATCTAACTGTTGTTTATATCCTCCAACATTCAGACTTGTTTGAAATCAGCCTTGTTACCTTCTGATACTTGTCAGATGGGGTTGTGGGCCACAGACCCCCATCAGTGTGTGTTTGTTGTTGTTAACTCTAAACCCTATCTCTCCCCTTCAGGTGTTCGTGTGTTGGTGGATGCACGGGAGAAGCTTCATATCCCCTGGGGTTCCTCTGACAACCAGGTGCACGGAGACAATGTGATGTCATTCGACACACGGTCTTCAATGATGGTGCACGGCCAGGTGGAGACGAGCGTGTTCCTCAAGTACCTGCCCTCCATCCAGGCCCTGTGGGCCGACAGCGCCATACAACACGCCTATGACAGACGCAGGGAGTTCCAGCTGGTCAGTACACACACACATGCATGCACAGATACACACACAGACTCACCAGGCCTCTGCAGACTGGCCGAGCTGATCTGAAGTGAAAGTGAAACTGAGTCAAGACCAGAGAGTTGCTACTCCTTCCTCCCTTGTCTCTCAATGTCTCTCTCTGCATGTTTGTGAGGTTGGTGTGTGTGTGTTCAAGCACGTGCGTCAGTCTGTTTCCTGTGCAGAGCTCAGCTCTCCTCTCTTGACACCTGGGCTTTCCAAACACAAACACACACACACTAGGGCTGGGAATTCAGTCTGTTTCCTGTGCAGAGCTCAGCTCTCCTCTCTTGACACCTGGGCTTTCCAAACACAAACACACACACACTAGGGCTGGGAATTACCAGGGACTTCACAATACAATATGATGAAGATACTTAGGTGCTGCTACGATATGTATTGCGGTTTTATCATGATTCTATATGTATTGCGATTCGATGTTCCAAACATATTGCTCACTATAGGTCTGCTGCAGAGGAACAAGAGCGAGCCATGAGAAAATGAGTTGGAGTCATGGAAATAAGTGCTGAAAACATTAAATCAAAGTTTATTGGTTGCGTACACAGATTTGCAGAAGTTATCGCAGGTAAGGTGAAATGCTTGTGTTTCTAGATCCAACAGTGCAGTAATACCTAGCAATACAAAACAATGCACACATAATCCAAGAAGGAAATCAAGAAATGTCGGAACAAATCCAATTAGCAACCCAAATAGCACATGTTGGCACACCATTTAAAAAGATGGAGAACAAGCTATAGAAGGAGAAATACTCGAGTTTTGGTGAGATGTTTGTTGGTGAGATCGAGTGTGATATGTGCTGGAATGCTGACATAGCAGCAATGCAGCAGTGACATAACCAGATTTACAGGATGGCAAGGAGATATATAACTATGCGAGAGAGTCAGTCTCACGCCTGAAATTTTGCGATTTCAGGGGCAAGGCCATTTGGCCTTCAAGAGGTGACCAATCTGCCAGGGCACCAAGGCCGTCTGCTAGGGCACCAAGGCCATTAACCAAATAGCCTATTTAAATTGATTTCAAAACCAAAAAACACTAGCTATTCTGTTAAGAAAAACATAAGTAAATGTACATAAATAATTAGCCTACATGTCAAAGTGTAGGTAATAGCCTATGCATATTGGCTACATTCTGTCATGTCCAGACAAATGCTGACAGGAGGGAGGCGGCAGAAAATGTAGCCAAACTTTAATTAGACTTATAATTACATATACAGTACCAGTCAAAAGTTTGGACACACCTACTCATTCAAGGGTTTTTCTTTATTTTTACTATTTTCTACATTTTAGAATAGTAGTGAAGACATCAAAGCTATGAAATAACACATATGAAATCATGTAGTAACCCAAAAAGTGTTAAATAAATCAAAATATATTTAATATTTGATCTTCTTCAAAGTAGCCACCCTTTGCCTTGATGACAGCTTTGCACACTATTGGCATTCTCTCAACCAGCTTCATGAGGTAGTCACCTGGAATGCATTTCAATTAACAGGTGTGCCTTGTTAAAAGTTAATTTGTGGAATTTCTTTCCACAATGCGTTTGAGCTAATCAGTTGTGTTTTGACAAGGTAGGGGTGGTACAGTGAGGGAAAAAAGTATTTGATCCCCTGCTGATTTTGTACGTTTGCCCACTGACAAAGACATGATCAGTCTATCATTTTAATGGTAGGTTTATTTGAACAGTGAGAGACAGAATAACAACAAATAAATCATCAATGCGAGCTGTGGCAAGAAGGTTTGCTGTGTCTGTCAGCGTAGTGTCCAGAGCATGGAGGCGCTACCAGGAGACAGGCCAGTACATCAGGAGACGTGGAGGAGGCCGTAGGAGGGCAACAACCCAGCAGCAGGACTGCTACCTCCGCCTTTGTGCAAGGAGGAGCAGAAGGAGCACTACCAGAGCCCTGCAAAATGACCTCCAGCAGGCCACAAATGTGCATGTGTCTGCTCCAACGGTCAGAAACAGACTCCATGAGGGTGGTATGAGGGCCCGACGTCCACAGGTGGGGGTTGTGCTTACAGCCCAACACCGTGCAGGACGTTTGGCATTTGCCAGAGAACACCAAGATTGGCAAATTCGCCACTGGCGCCCTGTGCTCTTCACAGATGAAAGCAGGTTCACACTGAGCACATGTGACAGAGTCTGGAGACGCCGTGGAGAACGTTCTGCTGCCTGCAACATCCTCCAGCATGACCGGTTTGGCGGTGGGTCAGTCATGGTGTGGGGTGGCATTTCTTTGGGGGGCCGCACAGCCCTCCATGTGCTCGCCAGAGGTAGCCTGATTGCCATTAGGTACCGAGATGAGATCCTCAGACCCCTTGTGAGACCATATGCTGGTGCGGTTGGCCCTGGGTTCCTCCTAATGCAAGACAATGCTAGACCTCATGTGGCTGGAGTGTGTCAGCAGTTCCTGCAAGAGGAAGGCATTGATGCTATGGACTGGCCCGCCCGTTCCCCAGACCTGAATCCAATTGAGCACATCTGGGACATCATGTCTCGCTCCATCCACCAACGCCACGTTGCACCACAGACTGTCCAGGAGTTGGCGGATGCTTTAGTCCAGGTCTGGGAGGAGATCCCTCAGGAGACCATCCGCCACCTCATCAGGAGCATGCCCAGGCGTTGTAGGGAGGTCATACAGGCATGTGGAGGCCACACACACTACTGAGCCTAATTTTGACTTGTTTTAAGGACATTACATCAAAGTTGGAACAGCCTGTAGTGTGGTTTTCCACTTTAATTTTGAGGGTGACTCCAAATCCAGACCTCCATGGGTTGATACATTTGATTTCCATTGATCATTTTTGTGTGATTTGTTGTCAGCACATTCAACTATGTAAAGAAAAAAGTAATACGATTATTTCATTCATTCAGATCTAGGATGTGTTATTTTAGTGTTCCCTTTATTTTTTTGAGCAGTGTAGTTTCTACAGATTGTAAATTAAAGATAAACATTTTTGCTAAGAGTATTATTATATTATTGATCGATTGACTATAACTTTTTAAATTACCCAGCAGTGCTATTTGCAGAGTTAGCTCCAGTAAATTATTCAGCCATTCCTGAACCTGAGACCAAAAATAATTTTGTATAATAATTTTAAATTGAAAAACATAAATTTCGAATACGGTGTCGTTTTGTGTATCAGTTCATAAACCATGTGCCATGGAATCGGTACATCAAAAATCTCTTCCCAACTATTTTGCAATCTATATGGTACATCTATAAATGTTTTGGGTCCTGGTATACATTTTTATTTATGACAATGAGGCATGTCTTACTGTGTTCCGACCATAGGAGTGTTAAGGGGATTATTTTATAAACACTTCCTCATATGTAATTGAAACCAGTATTTCTCTCATTTTATTTTGTTGTCCAGCAGCCAAAGACACAAACCTAGTCATATTAAAAACCTTTGCTAGTTGTTGCATTTTTGATTTTTCAAAAGTAAATTTTCATCTCTGTCATATGAAACCGCTCACATTTGTGGTGCGCTTTAGAGATTGGAGAATCGTGTTTTCCCGCTAATTGCATTTTGGAACATTTGTGCTTATAGCCTACTGCCGTTTGCGCATTGCTGCGCTCATAATGTGAAGATTTGGGATCTATTGTCCCACAACTGTCCCAAAGTCTGTTTTTGGAATATTTCTTTCTCGCACAGAACGACAAGTTGACCAATAGAATAGGTCAACTTTTGTACTATGGGGATAGTAGATTGACGTAGGCTAATGCTTTTGCTGTTACTCATCTTGTTGGCTGAAGAAAAGTAAATGTGGACAGTTCTTCAATATGCACCTCGGAATTAGATAAGGACTCGCGCTGTTTCATCCCTGATGTGTCTGTCTTCACTAGTAGCCTACTTCGGAGCTGGACCCGATTTACATGACGGGCGTTGGCTAATAAGAATTGAGATATCTGAGAGAGCCATGTGAGTGAGAGGTGCTTCGGAGCAGGGAATTTATAATTATAATTTTCAGCCCAAGGGCACAACGGCCACTTTGGCCGCAAGGCATGGATTTCTTTAGGGGGCATTACGAGCACACAAGGGGGCAACGACGGCCGGGAAGTCAGTCTGAGATGTAACAATTTGTGTTTATAACTCTTTGTGTGTGGGTGTGTGTCAGGGTTTACATTAGCCGGTAATAGCCGGATTTTGGCAGATTTTTATAAAAATACATGAAAAGCTGATAAATAAAACTGGCGCCAGCCAATTGTCCCAAAAAAACAAAAAACATTAGCTAAATAATGCTTTTGAACCTATTCATTGATGGAAATACCAGTCGATGGAAATACATTTGACCGGTCATGCTTGTCGGTCTATAGGTTAATTTTTGTAGTGCAGAGCATACAGAGGCTATGAGCGTAAATCTGTCAGGACAGCGTGAGAGCTGCTGCTGCTAAAGCTTCTCATTATCTCATTCGTTGCTGCTGGAGTGAAACATGATTTTATAAGCCCAATCATTGTGTAACAACTATAAATGCAATCGTGTGTTAACAGTTTTGATAGCCCCGATTTTAAAAGCGCAATTTATTTTATTTTCTCAACTAGTAATTAAAGCGTTCTTCCCATTCGCCATTCAAGTGGAAATAGGCAATGGTGGGCAGGCTTCAGCGAATCACACGCCACTTTGCAATGAGCTGGAGGCAGTATGCATTTTGAAAACATACAGTATACTTAATTGTTTGAAGCCTGAATGTTTTACTTCATATTATGAGGCATGTCTTACCTTGCTTCAAAGTAAAACCCGACCATCGATACGTGGAGGCAATTAATTTATAAAGACTTCCAAATGCCATTGAAACAGTAGCATATTTCTGTCATGGTCTATTGGTTTTCAAATCAACTTTCTTTCATTGTCAAGTAGCCAAATGCGCAATCCTAGTCATATTAGCAACCCATGCTTGTTTTAGCATCCTTAGATCTCCCCTCTTTCTAAATTTCTAACTGATTTTCATCTCTGTCACATGAAACCGCTGGCATGTACAATGCGCTTTTGACAAGTGTTTTCCCGCCTTGTGTGCGCCGCCTACTGCCTTGTGTGCGCCGCCTACTGCCTTGTGTGCGCCGCCTACTGCCTTGTGTGCGCCGCCTACTGCCTTGTGTGCGTTGCTGCGCTTAGAATGTGAAGAAATAATAGTTTATCAACGTTTTAAGCAAAACTCTCTGGACTGTTGCATCAGCCTCATTTCTTTTATGTAGCCTAGGCCTACTGGTTGGATGAATTATGGATCTATCGTCCCACAACTGTCCCAGTCTGTTTGGAACAGGCTATTTCATTCTCTCACAGAACGACAAGCTGACCAATAGAATAGGTACACTTTTCTACTATGGGGAATAATAGATTGACATAGTGGCTAGTGATTTTATTGTTCGTTACTCGTCTTGTTGGCAGAGGAAAAGTAAATGTGGCAGTTATTCTAGCATCGGAATTCGGTATGAAGGACACACGCTGTTGCATCCTCGACTTGCATGTTCTGTTAAGATGAATAGGCCTAGCCATAATCTAAATGTGATTTCTGTCATTCTGAGAACCCTGGGTGGACACCCTAATCAGGTTACGCACCCAATGCATATGAGTCCGGTAAATTTCTCAAATGTCTGTTAAATTAAAATGCTGCTGGTCAAATGTCCGGCGCCACATTTTCCTACGGAAATCATGGTGTGTGTGTGTGTGTATATCTATGTTTACAGTATGAAGGGAGGCAGGATCTGTTACAGAAAATATCAAATCGTATGCCTTGGTTTCACTTTTGGGTTGGTTGCCTGTAGCTGAGGCCATCTTTCAAATGATATCCTGGTCTCTGTGTGTATTCTGCCTGTATGGACAGACACTTGAGCTCTGATCTGTTCAACTCTACATACCCACCCCATCCCTCTGTAATCTTAGCCTACCACACACACACACAAAGACACAGGCTTTTCAGGCCAGGTGAGTTGTAGAGATAAAAGCCGTTTAGTGTCATACATTTACATCATTTAGCAGACGCTCTTATCCAGTGTCCATTTATTTTATTTTATGGGGGGTGGGGGAAGAAGGATTACTTTATACTATTCCAGGTATTCCTTAAAGAGGTAGGGTTTCAAGTGTCTCCGGAAGGTGGTCAGTGACTCTGCTGTCCTGGTGTCATGGGGGAGTTTGTTCCACCATTGGGGTGCCAGAGCAGCGAATAGCTTTGACTGGGCTGAGCGGGAACTGTGCTTCCATAGAGGTAGGGGAGCTAGCAGACCAGAGGTGGATGAATGTAGTGCCCTCGTTTGGGTGTAGTGTCTGATCAGAGCCTGAAGGTAAGGAGGTGCCGTTCCCCTCACAGCTCCGTAGGCAAGCACCATGGTCTTGTAGTATAGGATGTGTACAGTAAAACAAACACACACACACACACTGTTGTGATCTAATCATCACAAAGACACAAGAATAGATCATTGTTTTTGTTTTTACACTTCTGTAGCTTTCATGGGTAGCGTGAGTACAGGCTCTAACACACACACACACACACACACACTCAGACTGGAATGTGAGCCAGTCTTGGCTGTGCAAGCTCGTGTCTGGGCACGCCCCACTCACTGAGAAACAACACCAGGAGGACAGGGTGGAAAACACACACACACACACTCCGTTACACATCACACACACATACAGGCACACATTTACATCATTTAGCAGACGCTCTTATCTAGAGCCACTTACAAATTACACAAATGCTCACTTCACATGGATGCACTACAGTTTTTTTTAAAGACTGTAAAATCACCAGGAATTCAGCTACAAATCTATTCCCAAGTATTCCCACAAATGAATAAAAAATAGACTTATGTGATCGTGTCTCAATGATTGCGGTTACATGCACACAATAATGCAATTATTGTGGAAAGTCAGATTAATATAATAGTTTGATTAAAACGTTTACATGTTTTGCAAGAAGAACGATTTCCATAATAATTATGTTTACATGGAAACATCTGAAATCAGGCCACCTGATGGCACTCATGCAGAAATCCGCCAATCAAAATAAACATTCTACCACAGCGAACATGTTCTTTTTGGGAAGCATATTTGATTCTGAGTTTGTACATACAGTGCATTCGGAAAGTGTTCAGACCCCTTTACTTTTGACTGGTAGTAGATATAAGGTCAAACAGTTGACAGTGCATGTCAGAGCAAAAACCAAGCCATGAGGTCAAAGGAATTGTCCGTAGATCTCCAAGACAGGATTTTGTCGGCACAGATCTGGGGAAGGGCACCAAACAATGTCTGCAGCATTGAAGGTCCTCAAGAACACAGTGGCCTCCATCATTCTTAAATGGAAGAAGTTTGGAACCACCAAGAGCTGGCCGCCCGGCCAAACTGAGCAATCGAGGGAGAAGGGCCTTGGTCAGGGAGGTGACCAAGAACCCGATGGTCACTCTGACAGAGCTCCAGAGTTCCTCTGTGGAGATGGGAGAACCTTCCAGATGGACAACCATCTCTGCAACACTCCACCAATCAGGCCTTTATGGTAGAGTGGCCAGACGGAAGCCAACGGAAGCCACATGACAGCCCGCTTGGAGTTTGCCAAAAGGCACCTAAAGGACTCTGACCATGAGAAACCAGATTCTCTGGTCTGATGAAACCAAGATTGAACTCTTTGGCCTGAATGCCAAGTGTCACGTCTGGAGGAAACCTGGCATCATCCCTACAGTGAAGCATGGTGGGAGCAGCATCATGCTGTGGGAATTTTTTCAGCGGCAGGGACTGGAAGACTAGTCAGGATCAAGGGAAAGATGAACGGAGCAAAGTACAGAGATCCTTGATGAAAACCTGCTCAGGACCTCAGACTGGGGTGAAGATTCACCTTCCAACATTACAATGACCCTAAACACACAGCCAAGACAACGCAGGAGTGGCTTCGGGACAAGTCCCTGAATATCCTTGAGTGGCCCAGCCAGAGCCTGGACTTGAACCCGATCAAACATCTCTGGAGAGACCTGAAAATAGCTATGCAGTGACGCTCCCCATCCAACCTGACAGAGCTTGAGAGGATCTGCAGAGAAGAATGGGAGAAACTCCCCAAATACAGGTGTGCCAAGCTTGTAACGTCATACCCAAGAAGACTCGAGGCTGTAATCGCTGCCAAAGGTGCTTCAACAAAGTACTGAGTAAATGGTCTGAATACTTATGTAAATGTGATATTTCCATACATTTTTTCAAAAAAACTGTTTTTGCTTTGTCAGTATGGGGTATTGTAAGTAGATTGATGAGGGGGGGAAACTATTTAATCCATTTTTGGGAAAAAAAGCTGTAACATAACAAAATGTGGAAAAAGTGAAGTGGTTTGAATACTTTCCAAATGCACTGTGTAAAGTTAGTATGTGAAAACTACTTCTAAGGCACATACATTCAGTTGTTCCGAACACACTTCACTTGCGCTAAAGAGGGAGGCTCGCTAATCCGTTTTAATATCGAATTATTAGTGTGCATGTAAACATACTCAATGTATGAAATTATTGTTATTTTCAAACATAATATATTTTTGGACTTATTTGTGGTCAATGTGGTGTTTCGAATGATTATAATTGGGTTCCGGCCCCCGACCATTCGCTCCGACAAAAATCGGCCCGCGGCTGAATCTAGTTGCCCTACCCCTGCAGTACACACACACTCACATGCAGCAGTTTTAGGCTGATGTGTGTACATCATCTGAGTATTAGTAGGATTGGCAATGAAGCTAAAACAAATTTCTCCTCTCTCTCAGGGTGAGTCGGTGAAGTATTTCTTGGACAATGTGGAGAAGCTGGGGGAGCCGGTAAGTTTCTCTCCCTCACCCTCTTTCCCTCCATAAATCACTCTACCTCCTTAACACCCCCATCCCCCTCTCCTGTCTTCTACTCATCCCTCTCTCTCCTCCAGAGCTACATCCCTTCCCAGCAGGACGTCCTGCTAGCCCGTAAGCCCACTAAGGGTATTCATGAGTATGACTTTGAGATCAAGAGTGTTCCCTTCAAGATGGTTGACGTGGGAGGACAGCGCTCGGAAAGACGGCGGTGGTTCGAGTGTTTTGACTCAGTCACCTCCATACTGTTCCTAGTGTCTTCTTCAGAGTATGACCAGGTACACACACAGTGGACACTCACGCACATTGAATAAGCTTACCACACACGCCCTCTGTTTCTCTCTCTCTCTCACACACACTACCTCATTTATTTGTATTTATTACATTTTTTAACCCGTGTGTTCTAGGTCTTGATGGAGGACAGATTGACCAACCGTCTGAGAGAGTCGTTGAACATCTTTGAGACGATCGTCAACAACCGAGTCTTCCTCTCAGTCTCCATCATCCTCTTCCTCAACAAGACTGACCTGCTGGAGGAGAAGGTCTGTACAGTCACATTCCCCATAATCACAAACACATCAAACACAGTCATTAGGAATATTCTATGCTGTGTTTTCATTTACCTAAGACAGTGCTTAGAGATGCTGTGAGTAGATAGGACTCATGCGAGCAGGGTCCACACTGAAGAAAATAAGCTCTATTAGCTTTTCAGATATAAATATATTGATGTCAAGTATTGTAATTGAGGCCAAACCAACCTTCTGATTACACTGACGTTCCATGTTATGTTGGTCTGATCCCTGTTCCCGGCAGGTCTCGAATGTTTCGCTAAGTAAATACTTCCCAGAGTACACCGGGCCGGACCACAGCCTGCCGGACGTCCAGAAGTTCCTAGTGGACTGTTTCCGAGGAAAGAGAAGAGACTCGACACAGAAGCCCCTTTACCACCACTTCACCACAGCCATCAGCACGGAGAATATCCGCCTGGTGTTCCGAGATGTCAAGGATACCATCCTCCACGACAACCTCAAACAGCTGATGCTCCAGTGAACTATGACCTCTAGAGAGGACCTGAGCAAAACCAGCCTCCAAGAGGACCCAAGAGAGGACTTATTCTCTCGCCTAAAAGAGGACCTGATTGAGGACCTCTCTCACCTTTAAGAGGACCTGCAATAAACCAGCCTTTAAGAGGACCTGATTGAGGACACCCGTGCCTTGGGAGGACCTTGACGTTCCACTTTTGTTGTTTAGATGGTTTTATTTGGTTTTTACTGCCCTGTGGTGAGTGGGTGGTCTATAGACTGCTCTGAGGTCAGTTTGGCAAGGGACATGATTGAATGCTGGATAATAAGCACTGTCCCTGGGTCAGTTTATCTACCCTGATGCCTACCGTGTTGTCATAGCCCCTCTCCTGTCCACTGATCTGAGACCTGTGACTGACTGATGGAGAAACCATAACACCTTCATAAAACGTCTTAATAACCCTTAATCACTGTGTGTGTGCGCGCATGTGTTAATCTGCACTGAGTTATCTGTCTACCTGTCTAGCCTTAGGTATTTGCGTTAGCTATCATTTAATCAATCATGTCATTGATCACATACATTCCAATGTGTGTGTATACAGTTAAAATAACACCACACACACTTGCAGTCGGCATGTGTGCCGGTTAGCTAATATTGTTATCTCAGGGTTGTATGGAGACCACTGTATAAATGTCATTATTGTGTCTGTAGTCTATTGTCTAGACCCCTCAAATTCAAATCTGGACCTCCACTGATTTTTTTAAATGTTTCCCCTCTAATCAGTCTGATTTAGACCTGGGACACCAGGTAGGTGAAATTAATTATCAGGTTGAACAGAACCAGCAGTACTCCATACTTTGTAGGGTAATATTTGAATACCCATTGTCTATATTGTATACTCCAGGTTAAAGCTTTCGATTCTTAGTTAAATGTCTTCTGTGAGAACCTGTTCTGGGACGTATTCACTAGGCACGAATTGGAAGAAACAGGCTGAAATGGGGAGGTACTATCTGAACTTGTCCAATAAGAAACACTTGTTTTCTTTTTTCATTGCACAATGTTTTGAAACGTTTTGCTACAGTGTGCCCTAATGAATATGACCCAGAAGAGCAGAGGGGCGTGTCTCAGACCCTGGGCTGCATTCATTTGGGGGGCAAACATTACAGAACCTTCAGGTAGATACATGCATGTTAATTTCTATCTGAAAATTTCTATAATGTTTTGCCCACACGGAACGTGGTCCAGGTTACCACGACAAGTTAAAGGTACCGCTCCCTCCCTCTCCTCCCCTCCCATTGGTGGCCTTGTAAAGGGACGTGCATTGCGTTGGTCAGAGAGGCTGGCTATCTAATGTTTGATGTTTATAGTTGTACAGACTGACTCCAATTTAATTCTAGTTTAAATGATGACAGATTTTTCTTTCCTGTCTAACTGTAACCTGTGTTGTTGATGACCATAGTGTGTGTGTGTATACTGTCCTAACGTGTATAGGTATGCTGACACTGTAAGATCTGCCACCTTATAGTGCTGAATGACAGCTAGAGACTGACTCCAGATCAGCATTTGAACGTTTCGCTCCTGCTAAATCACACTGTGCCTTCACTGTAAGTGTATAAGGATCAATTGTCATAGTTTCCCTCTTGCTACGGAGATGGCGTTTCTTTCCACTGTGCCTCTCTCTGGCTCTGGCCTTGTACATACTGACACCTGATACCTTAATTGTAATCTACAATTATTGGGTTACTTTCATGTGTAAATAGTTGTTAAAAAAAAGGGCAGATGATTATTCGCTGATCGCTGTGTCACACTTTGCCTTGTCATTGAACAGACTATGGACGTGTTGTTTCTTTTTCTAACAATCAGCGTTCTTCGTTGTTTAATGCCACTGTAACCGTTACAATAAAGCACATTTCTTTAACAAAGTGTGACTTGTCATTCATTCACACCATAGACTATAAAGTAGGGGTTCTCAATTCTGGACCAGAGGCCGCCGCAGTGTGCATGCTTCAACTCCCCAAGGCCTGATTAGTTAAATTGAACTTGAGAAACCCTGGTATAAAGAGTTCCATCCTCTGATCAGACTGCCTTAAAATTAAATCTAAAAAGTCATTACATTTGATTTGTTTTCCTAATGATCTACACAACCTGCTCCACATTTCCAATGTGAACAAAAAAAAATAGAAATGTTTCAAAATTCATACGATATGATGAGATCTTAATTTTTTTATGTCTTCACACCCCAGAGTTAATACTTGGTGGAAGCACCTTTGTAGCTGTAGATCATTTTAAATACGATTCTACCAACTCTGCACAATTCTTAGAGCAACAAATCCATTGTTTTTGTCAAAATTGCTCACGCTCAGTAAATTTGTTGGTTGTAAGTCACTGATGGACAGCAATATTCCAACCTTTTCTATGATTTTTAAGCAGATTTATGTCAGGACTGAGACTAGACCCCTCAGGAACACTCAACACCTCTTGGAAAGCTATTCTGGTATGTCTTTTGGCATTGCAATTTGTGTAATTGTCCAGCTGAAAAATACAACTATCCCAGGATTAGGTATTCAGAAGACTGAGGCAGGTTTTCCTCTAACCTTAAACAAGGGGTTCTCCTTTCATATTTCTTTTGATCCTGACAAACTCCTGACAAACAAGCAAACCCATGACATGATGCTGCCACGATACTTGAAAATACAGAGGCATTGGCATGTATTCATGGAGGCCAAGGGAAGAGGCTTCCCCAAATATATATATATATTTATTCATTTATTTTCGTCTCTGTGTTTCATACATTTCCTTCAATTCACAAGAGGCTGAATGTACAGCGGCCCTCTGTCTCTGTATGTGTAGCCAATCTATGCTGTCTGGTCAAAAAGAGGATGACATTGTTGCTGCCCGTAGCATTGAAAGAAAGGGAAGCCAGCGTTTGGCCTCCCTTGATAAACAAAAAAGTATAAAATAATAGCCAATCAGCATTGAGCTAAACTGAGTGAGCTCAGCTGTGAATGGTGATTAGATTATGTCGAAATGGTGCTGGAAAATTGGATGCAGTGCCTGTTTTCTTTGGGACTTGCGTTAACTCGTGGTTCTAAATCAATAGTTATTTCGTAGTCTGAAAATGGCAGAAACATTAACTTGCTTGACCACGCTGTAGGTCATGTAACTTTGTTACATGCAATATGTTTTGCTCTCCGGTTTTGTGATGAAACAAAGGTTTGGTTGAATTTATTCTGCCACTGTGTCTCGGCCTTAGGCCTATACAGTGCATTCAGAAAGTATTCAGACTTGACGTTTTCCATATTTTGTTACGTTACAGCCTTATTCTAAAATTGATTAAATTGTTTGTTTTTTCCCCTCATCAATCTACACACAATACCCAATAATGACAAAAAAACTGAAGTATCACATTTACATAAGTATTCAGACCACTCAGTACTTTGTTGAAGCACCTTTGGCAGGGATTACAGCCTCGAGTATTCTTGGGTATGACGCTTCAAGCTTGGAACACCTAATTTTGGGGAGTTTCTCACATTCTTATCTGCAGATCCTCTCAAGCTCTGTCAGGTTGGATGGGGAGCTGCACAGCTATTTTCGGGTCTCTCCAGAGATGTTCGATCGGGTTCAAGTCCGGGCTCTGGCTGGGCCACTCAAGGACATTCAAAGACTTGTCCCAAAGCCAATCCTGCATTGTCTTGTCTGTGTGCTTAGGGTCGTTGTCCTGTTGGAAGGTGAACCTTCACCCCAGTCTGAGGTCCTGAGCGCTCTGGAGCAGGTTTTCATCAAGGATCTCTCTGTGCTTTGCTCCGTTCATCTTTCCCTCGATCCTAACTAGTCTCCCAGTCCCTGCCTCTGAATAACATCCCCACAGCATGATGCTGCCACCACCATGCTTCACCGTAGGGATGTTGCCAGGTTTCCTCCAGACATGACGCTTGGCATTCAGAACAAAGTGTTCAATCTTGGTTTCATCAGACCAGAGAATCTTGTTTCTCATGGTCTGAGAGTCTTTAGGTGCCTTTTGGCAAACTCCAAGCGGGCTGTCATGTGCCTTTTACTGAGAAGTGGCTTCCGTCTGGCCACTCTACTATAAAGGCCTGATTGTTGGAGTGCTGCAGAGATGGTTGTTGTTCTGGAAGGTTCTCCCATCTCCACAGAGGAACTCTGGAGTTCTGTCAGAGTGACTATCGGGTTCTTGGTCACCTCCCTGACCAAGGCCCTTCTCCCCCGATTGCTCAGTTTGGCCGGGTGGCCAGCTCTAGGAAGAGTCTTGGTGGTTCCAAACTTCTTCCATTTAATAATGTTGGAGGCCACTGTGTTCTTGGGGACCTTCAATGCTGCAGAAATGTTTTGGTACCTTTCCCAGATCTGTGACATAGACAGGTGTGTGTGCCTTTCCAAATCATGTCCAATCAATTAAATTTACCACAGGTGGACTCCAATCAAGTTGTAGCAACATCTCAAGGATGATCAATGGAAACAGGATGCACCTGAGCTAAATTTCGAGTCTCATAGCAAATGGTCTGAATACTTATGTAAATGTGATATTTCCGTTTTGTATTTTTAATACATTTGCTAAAATGTATAAAAACCTGTTTTCGCTTTGTCATTATGGGGTATTGTGTGTAGATTGATGAGTAAAAAAAAAAAAAGTAATCAATTTTAGAATAAGGCTGTAACGTAACAAAATGTGGAAAAAGTCGAGGGGTCTGAATACTTTCCGAATGCACTGTATAACAGTGTCAAGGCTGCTGAGGGGAGGACGGCTCATAACAATGGCTGTAACGGAACAATTAGAATGGCATAACCCCATGGAAACCATGTGTTTGATACCATTCCACTAATTCCGCTCCAGCCATTACCACCAGCCCGTGCTCCCCAATTAAGGTGCCACCAACCTCCTGTGGTGTCAAGGCATATGAACTAACAGGTTATAGAGCAAACAACACAATTATCACAACACATAGGTTGTAAAATGGCTTTTTTTCCCCTGGCTTGCCTTCCCCAGTGATTTTACCCACGCACCGCTACTGTACATCGTGTTCTTTTTAAGGCAGCAAAATTTGTGTTAACTGTGCAAGTGGTATTTAGACTCACTAGGCACTAGTGGAGCTGCAGTTTCCACTAGGTGGCAGCAAAGGTATATTTCTACAATTCCACGCCCACTGTCTTGACTACTAGATACATTATATACATCTGTTGTTATCATTACAACTGTCACCAATTTCTGTATTGGTAACTAGTGAAATAACAGTTTAGCAAAAGTAATGTCAGACATTTCTAAAGATTTTTCTATGCTGAAAATATTTTTGATGTGGAATGATCTAGGTCATTTACTCAGGCGTTTACTTGTGCTACCCAAGTGGTTTTTCAAAATAATTTAGTAGACAAAAAAAATCGGAATGTTATGGTTGAACAATTTTGGCTATGCAGACTCGAGAAGTCTAATACTCATCAAAGAAACTCACTCTGTGGTCAATGATGCTGGGACAATAAAAGGTCACTCTAAAATGTGCAGTTCTGTCACATAAAACAATGCCATAGATTTACATTTACATTTTAGTAATTTAGCAGATGCTCTTATCCAGAGCGACTTACATTTTCATACTAGATGTCTCAAGTTTTGAGGGAGCGTGCAATTGACATGCTGACTGCAGGAATGTCTACCAGAGCTGTTGACAGATAATTGAATGTTAATTTCTCTACCATAAGCCACCTCCAACGCCGCAGACCACGTGTAACTACGCCAGCCCAGGTCCTCCACATCCAGCTTCTTCACCTGCGGGATCGTCTGAGACCAGCCACCCGGACAGCTGATGAAACTGAGGAGTATTTCTGTCTGTAATAAAGCCCTTTTGTGGAGAAAAGCTCATTCTAATTCTGGGCCTGGCTCCCCATGGCTGCACCCCTGCCCAGTCATGTGAAATCCATAGATTAGGGCCTAATTTACTTATTTCAATTGACTGATTTCCTTATATGAACTGTAACTCAGTAAAATCGTTGAAATTGTTGCATTTTGCGTTTATATTTTTGTTCAGTATATTTTCATAATCTATATTGTTTTCTCTCTGTGTTCCTGCAGTCATGTCTTCCTCAGTAGAGGCTTGTCCATTCTGTGGGAAAACCTTCAAGAGACTGAACAACCACCTTCCCAAATGCAAGATGGCTCCAGTCACCACGACAACACAAAGCTCCCCGACCCCCCCCCCCCCCCCCTTGAACTTCTACTAAGAGTAAGAAGACATCATCTTCATCATTTTCACCACCTTCATCAACACCATCGGCAAATACAACTAAGACTAAGAAAACAACTTCATCATCATCTTCCTCATCATTGCCAACTACTAAGAAGAGTAAGTAGACACGATCATCACCATCTTCACCATCATCATCTTCCACACCGTCAACAACATCAACTAAGACCATGAAAAAGCAGAAGCTCCTTGAGACTTTGATTGTCTCCAAGGAGAGTTTGGTTAAAGATCCAGCCCCTCATGAAACTCAAAGCTACTACAACCACAGCCAAGCTCAACGCAGCCCCAGCCCCAGACCCTGCTACAGTCACAGCCACAGCCAAGACTAAACCCAAAGCTACTTCAACCACAGCTAAGCTCAAAGCAGTCCCAGCCACTGCTACAGTCACAGCCAGCACTAGAGCCAAAGCTGCTTCTAAGGTTTCACTGCAAGAGGGGGTTGAACTATCCGCTCAGACAGCCAGAGCTGCTGCCACACTATCCAATGATCCTTTACCATGGGGCAAAGTGTGAAGCAAGACCCTTCTGGCAGAAGGTGGAGTTGGGGAGCAGTAGAGAGGAGGTGGAAGAAGAGAAGCTGCAGTGGTCAGGGAGTGGTCAATCCCCACATCTAAGACCACACCACCAGCACTGCTGACCTCAAACCTGACCGTCTGTATAGCAAGACAACCGCACTGGACCATAACCCAACCATAACCTCTGACCTCAATAAAGACAGTCTAAGCAGCAAGACAAGCAACAGGGGACCACTCTCACGGTTGACTTTGTTCAAACCTCAACCACAAACCCTGCCCTCAGTTGTAGCCGTGAAACTGTTGGCATGTTAGCGCCCGAAGCTAACTCAGTCCAGTCACCCACCCTCAGACCTCAGGCTAACTGGGCTAGTCACAAGCAAAAGCCAACACTAACCGAGAGGATAAGAGATCTCAACAGCAACATACAACCCAGCCTTCCCCCCTCCCTTTCAGCAGTCACCTCTCTTTCCCTCTGCCCCTTCCCTCACCTCTTCAGGATTACCCCACCTGGGCCCGAATAGGGGTCACCCCACCCCAGCCTTCTAATTTAGCTCCCTCCCTCTGTCTCACCATCCCTGTCCTCTGTTCCTGCCCCTCTCTCCCTCCTCCCACCTCCCTCAATACCCCTTGGACCTCCCAGAGGGGTGTGGTCCATATGGATGCAACGCTTGAGATGCTCCTGCCCTATCAGAGGATAGGACTCAAGATAACGTCATCACCCTGCTCTCTTACTGGCCCAATACTGGTAGGGCTGATGCTTCATGCATCTACTCGGTTCCCTCCCTGTCTCCCCTCCTCCTCCCTCTCACCCTCCCAATCTTTCTGCCCCTCCTCTTTTCTTTCTCTCACCTTCTCTCCCTCTCATCGTTGCGAGGGCGAAGCCAGCAACAGCCAATCAGAGTGTGACGAGGGAGAGAGCGCCACTCAACGCCAGGATGTACGGCACTGAGCAGAGGATAATGGGTCGGTAGTGTTTCCGTTAACCATTGACATCCCTACTCCCTGTAGAATAGATGATGAGGCCATCACTAACTAACTGTCATGTTGTGTTGCAGGTGCACTGTCTCTAGGGGAGGTGAGGCTTAAAGAACTTCCTGGCTGGATCGCTAGCCGAGCTCCCCGCAACCCCAGACAGGGAATATTGGCCCTGCACAGAGGTAGGACACCCTACACACACACACTCACACAGTGTCTTTTCAATAATCACATGATATCTCTCATTTCCAACTCACATTTTCTATCTCTCTCTAGGATGGCAGTAGTACTACGGGAGGTACTGTATATAGACGTGAGGAAAGGTGGAATGGGAGGAGTGGCCATACTGCTAGCAGGATAGTGCATCCTAAATTATATTATAACCGCGATCGATAAAAAACAGTACTGTGCAGCCCTCTTCATCGACCTGGCCAAGGCTTTCGACTCTGTCAATCACCAAATTCTTATTGGCAGACTAAATAGCCTTGGTTTCTCAAATGACTGCCTCGCCTGGTTCACCAACTACTTCTCAGATAGAGTTCAATGTGTCAAATCGGAGGGCCTGTTGTCTGGACCTCTGGCAGTCTCTATGGGGGTGCCACAGGGTTCAATTCTCGGGCCGACTCTATTCTCTGTGTATATCAATGATGTCGCTCTTGCTGCTGGTGACTCTCAGATCCACCTCTACGCAGACGACACCATTTTGTATACATCTGGCCCTTCATTGGACACTGTGTTAACAAACCTCCAAACGAACTTCAATGCCATACAACACTCCTTCCGTAGCCTCCAACTGCTCTTAAATGCTAGTAAAACTAAACGCATCCTCTTCAATCGAACGCTGCTTGCACCCGCCCGCCCGACTAGAATCACTACTCTCGGCGGTTCTGACTTAGAATATGTGGACAACTACAAATACCTAGGTGTCTGGTTAGACTGTAAACTCTCCTTCCAGACTCACATTAAGCATCTCCAATCCAAAGTTAAATCTAGAATCGGCTTCCTATTTCACAACAAAGCCTCCTTCACTCATGCTGCCAAACATGCCCTCGTAAAACTGACTATCCTACCGATCCTTGACTTCGGCGAAGTCATTTACAAAATAGCCTCCAACACTCTACTCAGCAAATTGGATGTAGTCTATCACAGTGCCATCCGTTTTGTCACCAAAGCCCCATATACTACCCACCATTGTGACCTGTACACTCTCGTTGGCTGGCCCTCACTACATATTCGTCGCCAAACCCACTGGCTCCAGGTCATCTATAAATCACTGCTAGGCAAATCCCTGCCTTATCTTAGCTCACTGGTCACCATAACAACACCCACCCGTAGTATGCGCTCCAGCAGGTATATCTCACTGGTCATCCCCAAAGCCAACGCCTCCTTTGGCCACCATTCCATCCAGTTATCTGCTGCCAATGACTGGAACGAACTGCAAAAATCTCTGAAGCTGGAGACTCTTATCTCCCTCACTAACTTTAAGCATCAGTTGTCAGGGCAGCTTACCGATCACTGCACCTGTACACAGCATTCTGAAATTAGCCCACCCAACTACCTCACCCCCATATTGTTATTTATTTTTGCTAATTTGCACCCCAGTATCTCTATTTGCACATCATCTTTTGCACATCTATCACTCCAGTGTTAATACTAAATTGTAATTATTTTGCACTATGGCCTATTTATTGCCTTACCTCCATAACTTACTACATTTACACACACTGTATATAGATTTTCTATTGTGTTATTGACTGTACGTTTTGTTTATCCCATATGTAACTCTGTGTTGTTGTTGTTTTTATCGCACTGCTTTGCTTTATCTTGGCCAGGTTGCAGTTGTAAATGAGAACTTGTTCTCAACTGGCTTACCTGGTTAAATAAAGGTTAAATAAAAATAAAAATAAATAAAAAATCCTCAGCTACACCTGCAGCTACCCACACATCAGTAAGTGTGCATGTGTTTGTGTTTGTTAATTCAAACTCTTTTCAGAAAATCTTTCTTTACTGACTGACTGTCCATTTTCCCTCTTTAGAGCATGATCACTGGAGGAAGTACCACTGAGTCCTGGCAGTAAGGGTCAGACTAAGGGGAAACCTCTGTCACTCAGGGATGGAGCCCCTAGTGGTGGAGACAAGATGTGAAGAGCTGTAGTCTGGTGTTACCTGGAAATAAAGGCTAGAAGACCTGAAGCTATGACGAGCTCTCAGCATAGAATCATCTCTGAGTGGTGGGAGAATGTGAACAGAGGCAACACTAAGGTGCTGAGCGAAAAAGTCTCATTTCAGTTTTAAGTTTCTTCTAGTCTAGACCTTATAGAGTGCCCTCCACTAATATTGGCACCCTTGGTAAATATGAGCAAAACAGGCTGGGGAAAAAATGTCTTTACTGTTTATCCTCTTGGTCTTTCATTCAAAATATTCACAAAATTCTATCCTTTAATTTAAGTAAAATGATTGAAAAAAATCAATGTGAAATAAATTAAATAACTATTTTTATCCAAAACATGTGTGCCACAATTATTGGCACCCATAGAAATTCTTATGAGTAAAATCTAACTGAAGTATATTCCCATTAATATTTTTCAACTGAGTGATTAGGAACTCTTACGTTGTAAGCCATGACTTCCTGTTTCACTGGGATATAAATATGAGGTGACACACAGGCCAAGTTCCCATAGTCATCCATCACTATGGGAAAGACCCGAGAATACAGTAATGATGTGCGACAAAAGGTTGTTGAGCTGCACAAATCAGGAAATGGCTATAAGAAAATAGCTCAAAAAATGCCCATTTCCACTATCAGGACAATAATTAAGAAGTTCAAAGCAATTGGAGATGTTAACAATCGGCCTGGAAGAGGACCTGTGTCTATATTGACCCCACGCACAGTGAGGAGAATGGTTTGAGTGGCCAAAAAATCTCCAAGGATCACAGTTTGAGAATTGCAGACGTTAGTTGGGTCTTGGGGTCAGAAAGTCTCCAACTACGATCAGACGCCACCTACATAACATCAAGTTGTTTGGGAGGGTTGCCATCATCAAACAACAAACTCAAGCGCCTACAGTTTGCCAAATGTTAATGGACCTTTCAATGGGACCGGGTTCTATGATCAGATGAGACCAAAATAGAGCTTTTTGGAAACAAACACCAGAGGTGGGTTTGGCGTAGACAGAAAAAATAGCCATGCAGAAAAGTACCTCATCCCCACTGTGAAGTATGGTGGTGGATCTTTGATGTTGTGGGGCTGTTTTTCTTCCAAAGACCCTGGGCAACTTGTTAGGATATACGGTATCATGGACTCCATCAAGTACCAGCAGATATTAAATCAAAACCTGAAACTGGGCCGTGGTTAAATCTTCCAGCAGGACAATGATCCAAAATCAACACAAAAATGGTTCACTGACCACAGAATCAAGGTTTTGCCATGGCCATCCCAATCCTCTGACCTAAACCCCATAGAAAACCTGTGGGATGAGCTGAAGAGGAGAGTCCACAAGCGTGGACCTCGGAATCTGAAGGATCTGGAGAGATTCTGTATGGAGGAATGGTCTCAGATCCCTTGCCATGTGTTCTCCAACCTCATTATGCATTATAGGAGAAGACTCAGAGCTGTTATCTTGGAAAAGGGAGGTTGCACAAAGTATTGAATGAAGGGGTGCCAATAATTGTGGCACACATATATTTTAGAAAAACATTTGTTTCATTGTAAGAATTTATTTTGTAATTAAAGGTTAGATTTTTGTAGATATTTTGAATGAAAGACCAAGAGGATAAACAATAAACACGTTTTTTTCACAGCCCATTTTGCTCACGGGGGTGCCAATATTAGTGGAGGGCACTGAATATATACTATATGTACAAAAGTATGTGGACACCCCTTCAAATTAGTGGATTCAGCAATTTCAGCCACTCCCTTTGCTGACAGGTGTATAAAATCGAGCACACAGCCATGACATTTCCATACACAAAATTGGCAGTAGAATGGCCTTACTGAAGAGCTCAGTGACTTTCAACGTGACACCGTCATTTCATCAAATTTCTGCCCTGTAAGTGCTGTTATTGTGAAGTACCAAGGTCTAGGAGCAACAACGGCACAGCAGCGAAGTGGTAGGCCACACAAGCTCACAGAACGGGACCGGCGGGTGCTGAAGCGTGTAAAAATCGTCTGTCCTCGGTTGCAACACTCACTACCGAGTTCCAAACTGCCTCTGGAAGCAACTTCAGTACAAGAACTGTTCGTCGGGAGCTTCATGAAATGGGTTTCCATGGCCGAGCAGCCGCACACAAGCCTAAGATCACCATGCGCAATGCCAAGCGTCGGCTGGAGTGGTGTAAAGCTCGCCGCCATTGGACAGGCAGTGGAAACACGTTATCTGGAGTGATGAATCCCGTTTCACCATCTGGCAGCCAGACGCACTAATCTGGGTTTGGCGGATGCCAGGAGAACACTACCTGCCCCAATGCATAGTGCCAACTGTAACGTTCGGTGGAGGAGGAATAATGGTCTGGGGCTGTTTTTCATGGTTCGGCTAGGCCCCTTAGTTCCAGTGAAGGGAAATCTTAATGCTACAGTATACAATGACATTCTAGACAATTCTGTGCATCCAACTTTGTGGCAACAGTTTGGGGAAGGCCCTTTCCTGTTTCAGCATGACAATGCCCCCGTGCACAAAGTGAGGTCCATAGAGAAATGGTTTGCCAAGATCGGTGTGGAAGAACTTGTCTGGCCTGCACAGAGCCCTGGCGTCAACCCCATCGAACACCTTTGGGATGAATTGGAACACCGACTGTGAGCCAAGCATAATCGCCCAACATCAGTGCCCGACCTCACTAATGCTCTTGTGGCTGAATGAAAGCAAGTCCCCGCAGCAATGTTCCAACATCTAGTGAAAAGCCTTAATATTAATGCCCCTGATTTTGGAATGAGATATTCGACGAGCAGGTGTCCACATACTTTTGGTCATGTAGTGTATCAGTATATATCTGAAGTATTTATGTGTGGGATTTTCTGTTGTTTAATTTCTGTTGTGATGAAAGGGAAGGATACTTCAACAGCACTTGTATTTCTAGGACTAGTTAAGATTATTTGTTGTGTTTACAGCAACAAAGCAAAACCAGAACCTGTGAAGGGCTCCCAAGACTGTCACTTTTGGACTGTTTTTGTATATGGCTCATGATTTTGCTATACCAGCAACACGCTACTTTGTAAGCAGTATGAGTTTCAAACTGGACCCCACAACAAACTGAATGTCTAAACTACTACCAATAAAACATTTGTTGGAGAATGTTTTAAATGAATCAGGCTGTGCCAGTTTATGATTGTATTCAAAATGAATTTATTATTGACTTATTTTTGCTGTTGTAGTAAACACACAAACTAGAAATGAACAACTGACAGTATTTTTGTAACGATTTCTCTTGGAACACTTCATAGCCAACAGAATAAAAATAACTTCATTTTTCTCGTGTTTTTTTCTGGGGGGGTTTTCCTTACAAAAGATTATAAATATTTTGTGTTTCACATTTTCATTTTTTTACCAAAAAACCCCTATCATGTAGATAGTGAGACAGACCAAAAGAAAGTCAACAGTGAAAACGGGTCAAGAAAGTAGAAATGTATTGCTCTCCTTGGCGGAAAGGGCATAGCCTAGTACTTCAACCCCTCAAGACACTCCTGTGTGAAATTACTTTTGAGTCACATAGGGTTACATAGGCTCTGGTTAAAAATATATGGGGAATAGTGTGTCATTTGAGTGTAGACCAGCAGACACAGGGGGTCTGGAATAGTATAAAAGTCATCCTTCTACCTCCCCTCCCCCAACCCCCCATAAAAGAAAAAAGTGGTTGTCCCACTGGCTGTCATAAGTTGAATGCACCAATTTGTAAGTCGCTCTGGATAAGAGCGTCTGCTAAATGACGTAAACGTCCACAGGACCAGGGCTGAGAAGGCCACACCCAGTGGTTGTGTTCCTCTGCTCAGACGTTGCTGGCACATGAAGACCTTATAACGCCTGGATAGGTATTTTACTTATCAGCTAACCAACCACATGTTACAGCAATCTGGTCCCCGACATCACGGCACAGTCAATGACGTGGCACGCAACCATTGGTTGATGCATGCAACATCTGAGCAGGAGAACACGACCATTCAATCACTCAGACACAAGATAAACTGACGAACAGGCAGAGATCTCCTTGTTTCTATCTAAGATCTTCAGTCTGTTCATTCAGTCAGTTTAAAAGCATAGTTTACATACACTTCTCTCTCTCATCTCTTACCATAACGCCTGTTGATTGGGGTTTAACTGTTGGGAGGGAGAGATGGATAGAGTGTAAAAGTGAGGGATAGAATGGAGGAGAGGAAAGTAAGTGTGCTAGGGAACGAGTAACATTCATCCGGGGTGAGTGAACACACACACACACCAACAAACATACGAACACACCAGCACACGTACACAGAGAGTCGACATACATATACAATCCATGACCTTCCAGGGTCATTGTATCACATGACAGTAACACATTACCATGGTTGCGTGTTGACGTCGCTGGGACACACATTACTAACAAAACAAATAATAGCGATGTTTCATTTCTAAAAATGAACTAAATCTAATCTAAATAAAAAAAGATAAACATGTCTTAACATTTCTCACTCAATCTGAGGAGTTAGTGTGAATGAGTGTGTGTGTGTGTCTAGGTTGGTTCTTCTATACTTGTGGGGACAAGGACAGTAAAACAAGGAAAATTCTCCCTCGTGGGGACATTTCCCACATCCCCATGAGGACAAATGCTATATTAAGATTAGAGGTTAGGTTTAGGGTTACAGTTAGGGTAAGGGTTAGGAAAAATAGGATTTTTAATGGAAATCAATTTTAGGTCCCCATGAGTATAGAAGAACAAACTGTGTGTGTGTGAGATGTGTGGGTTGGTTTTTCTATCCTTGTGGGGACCTAAAATCCCCAAAAGTCTCCACAAGGATAGTAAAACAAGGTACATTCTCCCTCATGGGTACATGAAGAAATAGGCTATTTTAAGCTTAGGGGTTAGGTTTAGGGTTATGGTTACAATTAGGGTTAGAATTAGGTTTAGGGGTTAGTGGTTAGCAGTTAGGTTTAGGGAAAATAGGATTTTGAATGGAAATTAATTTTAGGTCCCCATGAGGATAGAAGAACAAAACGTGTGTGTGTGTGTGTGTGTGTGCGCGGATGGTCATCACATACCTTTAAGGTACAAAAGAAAAATGTCAAATAAGATACCAAAACGGACAGAAAACCAAAACCTGCTTGTTTAGTAGTTAGACACTCAGAGTGTGAGTGAGTCTCTCTGGCTTGACTATGAAAACTGAAGTAGAGAACAGAAAAATTACAATATATTTCTTGTAGTTGTCAAATCCATCAATGACTATGGTATTATACACTGAGTATACAAAACACTAAGAACACCTGCTCTTTCCATTACATAGACTGACCAGGTGAACGCTATGATCCCTTATTGATGTCACTTGTTAAATCCACTTCAATCAGTGTAGATGATGGGGAGGAGAAGGATTTTTAAACCTTGAGACAATTGAGACATGGATTGTGTATGTGTGCCATTCAAAACGTAAATGGGCAAGACCAAAAATGTAAGTGCCTTTGAACGGGGTATGGTAGTTGGTGTCAGGCGCACCGGTTTGTGTCAAGAACTGCAACGCTGCTGGGTTTTTCACGCTCAACAGTTTCCCATGTATATCAAGAATGTTCCACCACCCAAAGGACATCCAGCCAACTTGACACAACTGTGGGAAGCATTGGAGTCAACATGGGTCAGCATCCCTGTGGAACAATTTCGACACCTTGTAGAGTCCATTCCCCGACGAATTGAGGCTGTTATAAGGGAATACTCAATATTAGGAGGGAGTTCCTAATGTTTGGTATACTCAGTGTGTGTAGGTATGTAATGTCAGGTGCAAAAATTAAAGGACATTTCTTACAAGGCTTCTTCATGTAAACATTTCAAGGACAACGTAGAATTTCTCAGGCACAGAATCATCATCATCATCATCTTCCTTCTCCCTAAACTTCAGCATAATGGCACGTGGCTAAAGTTGGGGTTCAGGGGGTTGACATCTTCTTCCGGCTCACACCCAACTGGATATGATGTAACAGAGGTCATGACCCCTGGCTGTCCTACAGTAACCATAGTACTGTAACCATAGAAAAATAATCTAGATTATATTTCTATGACAGTAACTAACTCAGAGCTGGTTGAACTGGACTGACATGAGAGAGAAAATAAGAAAATAAACAATAACAAACGTGTAGCCCCAAGAATGAGCCGGGGGGCAAAGGATGGGAGGATGAGAGAGATGGAGAGATACAACAATAGAATGGTGGCACGTCCGTCTGTCAAGTCTGTCTGTCTAACATTCTAGAATGCTGTTGACGGCTGCCTCTAGAACCGAGTCTGTGTCAGGCAGGGTGGGAGGGAGGGGCAGGGGGGCCTGGGGGTGAGAGGAGGACAGGTGAGACAGGAACTGAGTCTGTACCGCCCCTGTCGACATCGCCGCTGTGGCAGTAGCAGCCACATTGCCGTGGTGATAGTTGCTGTTGTTGCTAGAGGCAGCTTTGTTTCCATAGTTGCTATGTTGAGTCCTCTTCAGGTCCATGATACTCTTAAAAGAGTCTATTCCTCCTCCCCCTCCTCCCCCGCCTCCCCCTGGGTCTCCATAGCCCGACTGGGGGTCTGTCCTGTAAGGGGGGTCTGTGGTTGCCCCCTTCCCTGTCTGTCTACCGCCGTGGCTGGACGAGGGGGAGGAGAGAGGGTCCAAGGGGAGGCAGGGGGGAGAGAGGGGAGACGGCTTCACCCCACAGCAGAAATCTTCCAAGAAGCCATCTATGGAGGGAGAGATCAAGAGAGAGGGGAGAGAGAGAGAGAGAGATGATGATGAGAAAAATAATGTTCCACACTTTTTAAATGGTCCACACCCATGCCATGTCCCGCCTCCTCACCTGGGTCCACCAGTATCATACGTTTGTCTTGTGTCAGGTTCTGGCGCTCCTCTTGGTTGAAGGTCCTGTCAATCATCACCATCTCTGAGGAGGGACTGGAGCGCTGCAGGGAGGGGAAGGGACTTCCTTAGCAACAACCTTACACTTTTCAAAGATTAAAAATAATTGTGTGTGCGTACTCACCTCAGCCTCCACCATCAGCAGTCGTCTGTATTTGTTGATCATGACCTGGGTCCTCTTCAATACCTGAGTCGCCATCGACTCAAACTCATCATCCACTGTTAAGAGACAGAACACAGTGGTTACACACACACACTAGTGATGCACGGGTTGACACATAACCTGCAGTCCCTGCGGTTATATCCGCAGGGCGGGCGGGTTTAGGGTCATGAAATATGGTGTGGATGAAAAGCAGATGGGTGGCTGGCAGGCGGGTTGAATAAAAAGAAAACAATGCATTAAAAATCCATAAATGTATCATTATTGTGCAATTCAGAAAAGCTGCGAAATGGAGAGTTGAAAATAAATAGTAGGGAGGCCAGAACAGTAGCTTAATGTTTGGGGAAGATTTGGTGAAGTGGTAAATTAGGATGATAGCAGTGCCAGCTATGATATGTGTAAGGATTGTGAGGCGCTATACAAATTCATATACAAAATCTACATTTTGACTCAGGAACAGGAGTGGAGAAATATGATTTATTTCATTCAGCATCTTGAGAGAATGTGAATGAGCGATAGGGACCGTCTGTAAAGTGCTATCTTTATCAGCATCATAAAAGCTGATAGTATTTCAACCACATAAAATATGTAACCAAGCCGAACTGAAATCTTATCAGAAACGTTTGGTCGTTTTCACAGCTTTTAATTTCCTTAAAACCGGTTAAACTGATTTTTTAATTTATTATTATTGCATTTTCTCCCCGGTCCTTAAACATCTTTGCTGCGCGAGAGAATCAGAGACGAAAGACAACTTTACCGATGTCAACTAGATTGAAGCATTCATTCTATCATTAAAGACATTATTCTGGTGAGAAAGGGTTTATTTAGTATTCTAGGGCAACAAAGGTGGCGCGTCCATATGGCTAAGCTTCCCCTAAAGTAAATTGAATTCAATTGCCAAAATTATAAAGCCTAATAAGTCTATCACAGAAATAAATAAAAACATAAAAAATAGGCTACTACACCAGAACGCATGATTTGGCCACAGAGAATTATTAGCTTCTTTAAAAAAAAGAAGCTGTGGATTGTTTTAAAATTACATTGCCTCCAGCGGAAGGGCCCACAATTTGGGCAGTGCACACGGCAAATACCAAATAGATGATGGTTGAGTTGCGACTGTCAGTGAAAAGTAGAGAGGCCCAGCCAGGCATAGGCCCATTGCAATATTTCAAAATACAACTGCGGGAAAACATAGTTTGGAAAGCAAATGTCCAAATACACAAACACAGCTGATTCAAATAATCAACTAATCATCAAGCTTTGATTATTTGAATCAGCTGTGTAATGCTAGGGCAAAAACCAAAACGTTGCTGTAAAGAGAAGACAATGAAAAGACTCTAATCTGTCTTTTAGTTATCAAAATTCGCAACTTAATTTAACGGACAGTATAGCCTACTCAGGGATCATTACCTAGATTCAGCCGTGGGATGATTTTTTCTTGAGCGGATGGTCAGGGGGCCGGAACATAATCACAAATAATTTGTAGACTGCAAATTGACTGCAAGAAGCCCAAACAGATATAATATTTGACTAAAACATAATCATTTAAAACCTTGCTTGCATATTTGAATACGATCACATACACAGTTTATTAGGTACACCCATCTAGTACCAGGTCGGAACCCCCTTTGTCTCCAGAACAGCCTGAATGATTTGGGGCATGGAAACGTTGCTAAACGAGTATCAAGGGACCTAACGTGTGCCAGGAAAACATTCCCCAAACCATTACACCACAGCTACCAGCCTGTACCGTTGACACCTGGCAGGATGGGGCCATGGACTCATGCTACTTGTGCCAAATCCTGACTCTGCCAGCATTAAAATCACTTGGAGCTAATTTGCTTGTGTTTTTACAGTCAATTAGAAAATATACATATATCATTGATATATCATTGTTGTTTCTTCTCAGAAAATTTGGGGGCCAAATAAAACATCACCAGTTGGGGAACCCTGGCCTATCTTATTGGCCCCAGCGGAGAACATCGGCTACATCCACGGTGAGTGTGCATATTCACTCTTTATCATTGTTGGGTCAGTGCCACTTGAAAGTGTATTTGGACAATAATTTCCTCTTCCAGGTCAGATGGACGTCACATTGTATTTGTGTTTCCCCTTCTAGTAGGCCTATTATATGGATTAGACAACGACGTTTTTATTCATCTCTTTGTCAGTGTCAGCAGAGTAGGCTACCCTGTAATTTTTGTCATATTAAAAATTATTCTGCTCCAGTCATATAAAGTGTAGTAGAATTGCATGAAATGTGTTTATAAAAGGCCAAATTTTCCCCCTGCAAAGATAAGAGAAGAAACGTATCTGATATATGCGGCCCAAATAAAATTCAAAGACTCCAGCCACCCAAGGGTGCATGTAACGCTTATCAATCCAATGATGTAATACGATAGTTGAAATTGAATAATAGAATATTAGTTTCAATGTTTACATTTTCTGATCCACTCGGAAATTTGAAAAATAGAAACAGAGTTAAGAAACTTCAGTTTCACATTATTCTACCCTGTAAAATGTAGATTTTGATATAGTTTTTTTAAATTTTCAAATGTACCTTGTGCCGTTTGAAAAATGAAAGTTTAAATATTGGTGCGGTTAGGAAAACTGGGTGATTTCTAAATACGTGGTTCAAGTGGATGCTACCATTACAGTGCACAGGGAGAGACCCTGCTCATCCAAAGTGGTAAATTAATGTGGTCCTTTGGAGGAGAAATCTCTCTCACACTCACTCACACACACACCAGACAGGACAGCGGGTAAAGACGAGCGCTGCGAGTCACGGACTGGTCCTGAGGTGAGGTTTGGCACACACACACACACCAGGTTTTTCCCTGGCAACTTATAGGCATACACGCTTCTAATGGCCATGTTGCATTATGAGCACAACCAAAAAACACTTGGCACTGTCACTGACTGCAGAGATAGTTTGCCTAATTTTATTGTACGATCTAAACCGCTGTGAAATATAATTTTCAAATAACCAAAAATATTGTATTTTCAGACAAAAACGAAAGTAACAGACACAAAAACAAAACTTTACGGGAAGCAAAGAAATAGCGCACATAGAACAGATCTACTGCTTAAACTTTCTTTCAATGAGAATTACAGATCTATAACTCACATTTCTATGTCAATTTGGTCGGGTCGCCCAAAAAGTTACATATTGCAGCTTTAACAGTAGTATTTCCCCCTTATGGCAACTATCCTTCTAACGACCGTAGGCTAGTAGGCAACATGAGCACACCCAATGAAACAAATTACTGTATATTGGGATTCTGGAGACCAGGGGCTATGCGTGTGTATGTGTCCCATGTTGAGCTGCCCTCCAAATTCACTACAACACTCCTATTTTGCAGCCCATTATCCTAAACTGTAGGCTAATAGTACGTTACAGTGGGCAAGTGAAAGTAAATTAGACTATAGCCTATCTGCATTATATCCAACGGATGTGGGAGGAGTGAAGCAGGGATTTTACGCAAACATGTCTGTGGGAGGAGAGGCAAAGGAGCTAATCTTAGGCGCTGTTTGAATATATTGAAATAATAATTGATCTAAATAGGCCTATTAGATCAATGATGATCAATGATCATAGGCTTTATATAAATAAATAATCACTGTGTGTGTGTGTGTGTGTGTGAGACTTCGACTCCAAGGACAACATTAATTTACCACTTTACAGTGTAGACAAGGCTAATCTCCCCCCACACTGAAGTGGTAGCATCCACTTCAACCAGTGTTAGAAATCACCCAATTTTTCCAGCCACACTAATATTTCAACTTTCATTTTTCAAACAAAAAAAGGTCAACTAGAACATTTTACAGGGTAGAAAAATTAGAAATGTAAACATTTTAAACCCACTTTCTATTACTCAATTTGAACAAGTGGACCAGAACATTTTGAAATTGAAACATAGAAACAAATATTCTATTGTTCAATTTCAACGAGTGTATTAGATCGTTAGATTGATAAGTGTTACACAGACCCCCAAGCCATAGACTGTTGGCAAGCGGTACCAGTGCACCAAGTCTGGAACCAACAGGACCCTGAACAGCTTCTACCCCCAAGCCATAAGACAGCTAAAAAAGACTGCTAAATAGTTAATCAAATGGCTACCTGCATTGACCTTTTATTGCACTAACTCTCTTGCACTGACTCTATGCACACACACTGGACTGTACCCACACACTCACACTACTTACACTGACACCCCAACACACACTACATACGCCCACACACACATAACACGTGCACACATGCATACTGACGCCACACACTCACATACACACACTTTCACACTCACCACATACGCTGCTGCTACTGTCTAAAAATGTTATTTTTAGATGTTATTGTTAAAAAAAAATCTTTAACTCTGCATTGTTGGAAAAGGACCCATAAGTCAGCATTTCACTGTTAGTCTACACCTGTTGTTTACGAAGCCTGTGACAAATAATATTTGATTTGATTTACAGGCTAGGCCTACTCTACACCACTACGTGCTCAGCCATGCATTTTTGCAAACAGTGAGTTATATTATTAGCCTAAATTATGATTATCCAATCTACTCATCACATTAGGAATTAAGGTTATTATAGTTTTGTGTTTTTATATGAGCTTTTATTTCTTTTAGTTTTAAGTTGTTGTTTTTTTATTCGGTTTAGTTTCAGTTAGTTTTCAGATCCACTTTACTAGTTTTTATTTAGTTAAAGTTTTATAAAAACATTTCCATTTAGGTTTTTTATATTATTTAGTTTCAGTTGTAGTTTTAGTGTTAGTAAAGAAAGTAACCTATCTACTGTATCCATGGGAGGCTAGGAGCCATGTATGTGTTGTATCGTTTTCGTGTTTTTTGGGATGTCACTTCTTGCCACTGTGAGGCAGTAATACATAAGGTGATAGGTCAGGTTAAGTTTAAAGGTAGATTTAGGGAGATGACGCAAGATGACGTAGATACACGAAGTAAACAGTAGTAGTGGGTCAATTTCCGCAACAACCAGGAGTGTTGAAGCGCAAGGCTAAACCCTCAGCTGTTTTGGTCTCGTAGCTACCACGTTGTAGCAGCATGAAGCGCACCTGCGCACATGTGCAGATACTCTGTGTGACTGTGTGAGAGCAAAGCCTTGCATCATGCTCATCTCAATGGGCGCGTTCGAGCAGATCACTTTTGTCAAGTCGATGACTATCATTGGTGACCGCAGTTGCATTCTGGGGATAAGAATTGTCCGACTGGCACCTATGTAGCACATGGGTTTGTATAAAACGTACTCCTCAGCCTGAAGTGTCCCCACTTACGCCAGCGAATAGCTAGCTATTTGAGTGGGGTTGACTGGTAAGACACTTCAGGAGGGCGGTCACATGTGCTAGCAAGGCACAGGTCCTGGGTTCAAACCTCAGTGTTAGCCGAATCAGGAGGAAGTGGTACTCACTAAGCAAGCAGCGTGACGTCCGTCACACCTACATGTCGACTCCATGAACTTTACAAAAATCATGTTATCAAAGGTAATGACGTTTTGACTGCAAGTTTCTTCAGTTGATTTTCCCAAACTGCGCCATGCAGCCATCGCCTGCATTGTGGGAGGCTCTAATATCAACCAATCATTAGGGAATTTTTGTTTTACCCACGCGAACGTGACCAAAGACATGACTGAAACAGGAACCAATTTGCCGGAATTTGTGTGTGCAGTGGATATATTCAAATAAATGTGATATTTGAGGCTCTCTCTCACTAATCGATTGTACAATGTGTACACACAATATTATATTATATTATGATTTCAGTTTGTGAGTGTGTGATATGGGGGTTAGATACATGCTTATTTCAACATTATAAAGAAAACCTTTCATAAACAATGACAAGACTGCCATGTTGATCTGAGCCTTGCTGTTGGAAAACCCCATTAGTGTCTGACTTTCGGTGAACAAACAGCTGACCTTGGGAAAACTCTTCCTTGTTGGGCGGAGCTCCGTGGAACACGTGGTAGGGGAGGAGTCTGTGCAGTGCGTCATCCAATGAGGTGAAGCGGGCGATGTCAGGTGACAGAACCCCAGAATGATCCATCCTCAACTGCTGTAGCATCCTGGAGAGACACACACAGTACACGTATCACACACACACTCCCTCAGCCCCCCAAGGGGGACCCAGCAAAACTGCAGTACACCACTGACACACGCATATCCAGTCGCTAGTGAAAGTCTACACACCCCTTGCACAGTCTGCACATTTTGCTGCCTTAAAATTTAATCTAAAAAGGATAAATAAAAACCAATCCAAAGTGAAAGAAAAATTCTAGAAAATTCTCCAAATGACTAAGAAATACAAAATGAGGATGTATTGATTACGTAGGACTTCACACCCCAGAGTAAATACTTAGGTGGAAGCACCTTTGGCAGCCATTACAGCTGTGAATCATTTTGAATAAGATTATACCAACCTTGCACAACTCTTAGGGCAACATCTATCCATTGTTTTTGTCAAAATTGCTCAAGCTCAGTAAGTTTGGTTGGGAATCATTGATGGACAGCAATATTGAAACCTTGCCTCTGATTATTTTAAGAAGATTTAAGTCAGGACGGAGACTGGACAATACAGGAACACTCAACACCTCTTAGAAAGCCATTCTTGCTATTTTTGTTTATTTTTGACCATTTTAATTTAAAACAATCACAGTAAGGTACTTAATTGTTATCCAGAAATGATTTGATATTGAGATAAAAACGGCTGCATTGGACGTTTAAGGCTAAATGTGAAAACTGTGCAAGGGGTGTGTAGACTTTCACTAGACACTGCATGCGCGCACACACACACACACACACAGCATCTATAAACATACACACACACTACTTACATTCCTCCTCTGGAGAGCTGCTGAGGGGCCGGCCTCTTCTGAGCGCTGACCTACAAAAGACACATTTCAATACCATCATCATCACCACACACATAGGGCTGTAAGCCCATGTTGCGCAACATTTCTATAGGCTATGCAATTGAGTTTAGATGGAAACTAAAAATAATAATAAGCACATTGCTTCGCTTTACAATCGGAGCAGCCTACATGACTGGCATGAAAATGAACCATGGGAAAAGAGTATTCCATTGGCTATTCAAGTGCATACGGATTACATGTATTTTTTTACCCTGCCCCTGTTCTGACAGGTGAATGATAATGGCCCATTTTAAATCTAAACTAATTTCACATATATTCTTTAGTATATATATAAAGACAAGATTCAATTGAGAATAGTCTGATGGGTGAAAATATTATCACTTGTGAATGATGTCCAGCTTGTGCAGTCTAAGGCCAGAAACAGCGCATGCATTTTTTCATACTTTTTCGAATCATAGGCCTATATGTTATGATAAGGTTTGTATCAAAACTAAAGTGGCAAATAACTCCAAACGTAGCCTTTAGGCCCAAGACCCCTGGAACACTGTTGGAGAGCCCATAGCCTACAGAGCCTAGTGAAACATGTGTTCTTATAAGCCCAGTCATTGTGCAATCGCGTGTGAAAACAGAGTTTTAACTGGACACTATTTAAAAGAAGATCCCAGCTTTCTCGTGCTGCTATATTTATTGCTCAATTCTAAAAAATTAAGCACATGAATCAACTTTACAAACGGTGTTGCCTACCTGGCATATTAACAACATAACTGCACGTAACCTAACATTTTATGACCACCACAGACCTACACACACACACACACATTTACATTTTAGTCATTTAGCAGACGCTCTTATCCAGAGCGACTTACAGTTAGTGAGTGCATACATTTTTCATACTACACCATTTAAATAAATTGCTTAGCGCCCAAACACTTACTATAGTAGGAGGTACACATACAGTGTATAACATGTAGAATACCTGTGTGTTTAGCGGGGCGTCTTGGCTGATGTAGGTCATTGTTTTCACAGCTATGAGACAAATGAGAAACAGATGTCAGGAGAGGGGATTATATACATCTATAACAACTACACACACACACAAACACAAACCTTTGTTTCCAAGGAGGTTGACGAGCTGTGTCTGAGCCTGCTTGTCCTGAGGAATTGGAGAACAAAACATTACAAAAACATATTATAGAAACGCATCCAAAGAGGGTAATAATTAAGTGAGAAAGAGAGTTGTAGTTAGTACCTGTGTGTACTCCTGTTCCTGTGTGGCAGTACCAGAGAGAGACAGGGGGGAGAGGGAGCTGCTGTTCTGAGTCTGAGACAGTACGAGGCGCTGCACTGGGCTGCCCGACACCTGCCCTCTAACCCCAGTTGCTGTGCCAACCAGCGTCAGACGCCCCTGATTTGATGCCGCCTGGACTGGGGCAGGGCTTGTACCAGGAAAACTCTGCCATGTTTGGGTCATGGCTCCTCCTACTCCCACCTGGCTGCCTCCCACCTGGATTAGCTGACCTCCCGCCGTCGCTGTGAAGTTCTGCCCGGCGATGAGCTGGACTGTGTTCTGATTGGCTAGCAGGGTTGATTGGGATGGGTCTGAGGGGCCATTGTGGTGGACCAGGTACTGCCCTGGGGGCAGGTTGGCCTGGCCTTGCTGTCCCTGGTTCTGCTGCCCCAAGGGAGAGTGGACCAGGATGGAGCCGTTAGCTGTGTAGTGTCCCTGGGCCGCAGTGTTAACCATGGTGGTGGTTGTGGTCTGAAGTCCCAGGCTGTAGACTGTCTGAGCCCCAGCTTGAAGGGGTTTGGGCTGGATAGGTCTGACCAGGGCCTGGGCGCCCCCTGGTCCTCTCTGGATGATGATATTCTGCAGGGGGATGTTCTTAAAGGGCAAGCCCACCTGGTTCACCTGGGCCGCTGGGGAGGGGGTGGCGAACACCTGCCCCCCTGCTGCTACTCCCCCCACCGCCCCCCCTACCCCCCCACCCTGCCGGAGGAGGATCTGTTGGACCCCTCCCCCTCCGAAGGACCCCAACACCTGGATGTGCCCCCCTGCCTGGCCATTGGGCAGCTGGGACATGCCCTGGAGGAACTGACCACTGGGAAACGCCGCTGTCGTTGTAGTGACCCCGCCACCGTACCCCCCCGAGACCAGCTGGGGGGGGAATGGGGAGGGGGCCGAGGGTAGAGGAGGGGGAGGTGGTTGAGAGTCTAGCATGGCCTCCTGTTCCAGAGTCTGTTCAGTGATGTCTGCCTCCATGAGAGACTTCTGCAGGATGTCAAAGGGCTGGTCCTCTCCTCCGCCAAGATCCATTCCTCCTGGAGAAGCTTCTCCCCCCAGCTCGTCCTCAATGAACGATAGGCTGCTGGAAAGCTGGAGGCCCACCCTCGCTGAATCCTCAAACTCTTCATCTTTGAGGCCGGAGTTAGAGCCAGCCTGAGAGAAAGAGAACACTTTATAACTATGCAGGCTCCATCAGTTTATAAACCCATTACCAGCAGGTAAGTGCAGAGTTACTTCTACTCACAGTGTTACTGGTGAAGAAGGTTCCGGCAGAGCCGTACGCTGCGTTCGTCACGTCATCCTCCTCAATCTGAGGGAGAAAATACACGTCACTTCACCTGTATCACAAAGCAGCGTGCTAACTTCATTAAATATTATATTACTTGAAATGGGCATGGATGAACTAGTAGACCAGAGGGGGAGACACTCACAGACTTGTTGGTGGAGCCGTGGAGGTAGTCATTCAACGCCTGCACATCCCTGGAGGACAGAAGGAGGGAGAGAGCTTGAGTCAGAGATCATCTGAATTTCACTTTAAAAAAAAAAAGCTATTTAGTTAACATTCGTAACCCGTGGGCAACAGACTTATCGGTTCCACTTGCCATTACTAATGCCTTAAGAGTTAGATGTTTGTAGATGTGTTATAGTGTTTGTGATTTATGTGTTCTAGATAGATTTACCCTATAATATCCAGAAGACGGCGATCGTCCTCATCATCCATGACACCTGGGAGAGGAGAGGTGAGAGCAGAGAGGGGGATGAAGTGAGAGGAGGGGGGTGAAGTGAGAAGAAAGAGGTGTAACGGAGGAAAGGATAAGAGGAAGGGGGAGATATCCTATTAGGATTTTAACTGTATACACTCTGTAACTACGCTAAAAAGCTCATAAATGCAATATAAGAGTTCTTATTCAAAACCCTCTTACTATTCTACATTTTATTTTATTTTACCTTTATTTAACTAGGCAAGTCAGTTAAGAACAAATTCTTATTTACAATGACGGCCTACATTGCTGCAACAATTCTTATGAATGCTTGTGAGCACTAAAGAGTTAAGGAAAGTAATGCAGAGACATAGGCAGTGAGACAATACAGAGGAAGTGCTGGGTGGGTGTGTGAGTCACAGGCGGCGGTGGCACCTGGGGAGGACAGGCTCATAGTAATGATTGGACTGGAGTAAATGGAATTGTATCAAACACATGGTTTTTTAATAACATTCCATTCACTTCATTCCAGCAATTATTATGAGCCGTCCTCTCCTCAGCAGCCTCCTGTGTGTGTGTGTGTGTGTGTCAGACTGTATCTGCATGCCTATCTGACAGTTGGCGACGCAATAAAACACTCACAGCTTTCTGACAGCGAGCATGGAATCATTCATTAACCACCACCTTTTATTTCCTGTGATGGAGTGGTGGGCAGAGTGAGAGATAAGAGAGATGGGTGGGGAGAAAGAGAGATTGGGGAGGCACAGAAAAAGAGAGAAGTTAAGAACAATAGTATTCAAAGTGCAGTATTGCCCCTATCCCTCCACCTACCTATCCCTATTCCATGAGAGTGAAGCTCCCGCCCCCTACCCTTCTCTCTTCTCCTGCACATTGGTTGTCTCTCCTGTCACCTCCCATTGAATGAAGATGGTCATCAAAGTCTAAATAACTCCACCCTGTTCCCTTTAAAAGGTTGTTTGTTTGGGAATTGAAGGTTTACAAAGCATTTGCTTTGTTTAATAGCCAGCATTCCACAGAACTACCTCCAATTATGTTGACCTTGTATCATGGTGAAAGGGGACATAAAAGAGTTAATAAAGTGGTGAATAGTAATGAGGAGCAAATCAGTAAATGTAGCTGGAATGTAGTATTCGAATATTCTCAAGGCTAAGCTGTGTATTTCGTTAATTCACAGAGCTGCAATGCCTGGGTTAAACAAGGTGGTGTTTTGAAAAATGCCATGCCACTGTAGGGGGGGGGGGGCTGTGATGTGTCCAAATGTAGCAACATTTTTGACTTTGTATCTTTCATTCGACGTCATGTCAAATTACAAATGTGATACATTGTGTCATGTCGGTGATGTAACATTGACTGTGCTCTTGTATCAGTCTGTTCACACGTTTAACCAGTTTCAAACAAAATGGCGACTCGGCCACCATCTTTGGTTGAGAAAGAACCAAGCCTAATAAGGCTCAAACAGCAAAGCGTCATAAAAGGTCTCAGCTGCAATTGAGTAGCTCGATGTAGGGAAATTGCACGATTATTATAGTTAATAAAACGGGTCGTTTTGGAATTGTGAAACAACTAGCTGTATTTTCAAAATGTGGGCTGCTAGCCTGTTTTTTGCTAGCAGCCCAGATATCTAGCTAGCTGCTAGCATACGCAGATAAGAGTGCCACTTTATATTAACCTTTCCACCAACAAAAAAGGAAATAAAACAGTAAAACAATCTTTTATTTAACAAATTAAACCGATACACGTGCTCGTTGAAGGGTCCCTTCAAGTGTTGCCGTTTTAAGATATTTTTGACAATATAACCTGGTGATGGCGTCGAGGTTAACGTTGGCTACTCGGCTAGCTAACCTCTAATGAGGTCCCTTTTCGCTTCCCATTTCAACATTGGGGTTATTTTGTGATAGTGGCTAGATTAGCTAGCACCACTAAATGGGGGAATATAGCTACACGTGTCAAATAACTGGCGAAATGCACAGTCTCAAAGCCTGGAAGAGTTAGTTCAATTTAACAGAATTTTGCGAATGGAGAAAACAAGCAGCCGCTAGCTAAACGCTGTTAGCTTGCTAGGTGCCCAGGAAAATTCAAAATAGTCACAATATAGTGTTTCCTCTCCCCTGGATACACCTAGCTTACTGGTCGGAGTAGGCGTACAAGAAGAAGAGATGGCTAGCCAGGGTCGGAGTAATTTATAAACCTGTTTATCCAAAGAATAGTCGAAACATTTAGCTCCAATAGAATTTCGACATCGTAATAACACCCTCCCAAATCATAGCATCAGACAAACAGCTAGCTAGTAACGACAGTCGTGCCACAGCCTTCAAGCTTTGGAAACGTCGTTTAGACCGCCAGCTGATGTACAGCTTGCGATTTATGTCCAAAAATAGACTGAATCGACAGACAATGATAATCGCATTCGAGCACAAAAAGCCTGTCCTCCCAGCCTCTAGCTGGTCGCTGACGTGCTCTCTTTCTCTGCTGTGTTGGGGTAGACTTCGGAAGCTACCATTTGTCTTCTATTTAGCTCATCTGCCAGCATGCAATGCAAAACGTCAGATTTCCCTCGATTTGCTGAACAGACATATTTCAATCGTGGAATTTACGACAGCGCGGAGTCTTCTTCACCAAGCAGCTCTTTGGGCTAGCTATTTGACCGCGGATTTTTTTTTACTGGTAAACATCGGCCTGTTCAAGGTTAGCTAGCCGATGTCGCCTATTTAGAATCGTCGGATAGAATTCGTTGATACGGCTAAACAGTGTCGAGACCTAAGTATTTTTTACGATTAACATAAAGACGACTGAAAGACGGCAAACCCTTACTCCTGTCTCACTCCTCTTGAAACCCAATATCTCCATTTGGCAACTTTTAATTTGCTCCCCCCTCCTTCTCCTCCTCCTCCTTCTTCCACTCATATTTTTCTCACTGTCCCTGTTGTGTCTCAGATAGATTTCTCTCCACTCTCAGTCTCTTCCCTCCCCGAAGGAAGGGAGGAAGGAGGTTGTGTGTGTTTTTTCCTAGAAATTTTATCACAAAATTATAATACACTCAAAGGGAAACTCACCGTCATGAAAAAGCAGTGCCTTGTCAACGGGGTTTCCTCGCCATCACAGCACGGGTAGTGCCGCTCCAGCAGAAGGCAGTAACATCCGAGCATTCTACAGATATCGTTGCAATATTCCATAGTAGTAACATAGGACGGAAAAATTGTCACTAAACTCTAAATACTGAAAAAATCTGTTTTACCATTAATGAACGTTTTTTAAACTTCCATGACAGCTATTTCATAATTCTTCTCCCCTATGAATAGGAAATTGTTTTACAGTAGACTTGGCCATTATGAACGGTAGGGGGCGGGCCACTAGTAGATGCCACACCTTGATGTGGCTGATAAAGTAATTGAGGAGGTTGTACATTGACCACAGAGAGATCAGCGAAACGAGGGCGTTATTCCACTCACATACCCTCCAGTGGGATATAGGAGGGGGGTAACAGCTTTTATAAGTAATCTCAAATATTAAACAATTAATCCTATTCACAGTGCTGCTCTGTACACCATGTTTCAATCAGAGATGGGTGCCAACTATACACATTGTAATTCAGTCTATTCTGGTGTACATTTTGTGAATTCATGTAGGCCTATTGTATTCCATATACTACAAACCCATTTCTTATACTTGCAACAGCGGTCTAAGTTGGAAGAGTGCAGTTATTTCTTCCTGCAGAAGAATTAACAGGTACTGTATGTGAAAGTATGAAAAATGTATGCACTCACTAACTCTGGATAAGAGCGTCTGCTAAATGACTAAAATGTAAAATGTAAAGTGAGGTGTGTGTGACATTGAGAAATGAATAATAAACGATTCTACATCTACTGTGAAGGTGGCTACTGATAGACTATTTTACTATTCTGAGATTTGTCTTCTATTCTCCTAGATTAAAGCTCAGGTTTTGCTTAATAATGTGCATTGTCATCCTTCCACTTGCTTTCGCAGTGGGGCACAATAGAACATGAACATCATTATATATGGATATTTACAGTGGTGTAAAGTACTTAAGTAAAAATACTTTAAAGTACTACTTAAGTCGTTTTGGGGGGTATCTGTACTTTACTATTAATATTTTGGACAACTTTTACTTTTACTCCACTACATTCCTAAATAAAATAATGTACTTTTTAGTCCATACATTTTCCCTGACACCCAAAAGTACTCGTTACATTTTGAATGCTTAGCAGGACAGGAAACTGGTCCAATTCACACACTTATCAAGAGAAAATCCCTGGTCATCCCTACTGCATCCGATCTGGCATACTCACTAAACACAAATGCTTCATTTGTAAATTTTGTCTAAGTGTTGGAGTGTGCCCCTGGCTCGCAGTAGATTAAAAAAACAAGAAAATCATGCTGTCTGGTTTGCTTAATATAAGGAATATGAAATAATTTATACTTTTACTTTTGAAGCATATTTTAGAAAGTACATTTACGTTTGATACATACGTATATTTAAAACCAAATACTTTCAGACTTTTGCTCAATAAGTATTTTACTGGGTGACTTTCACTTTTACTTGAGTCATTTTCTATTAACATAACTTTACTTTTACTCAAGTATGAAAATTGGGTACTTTTTCCAACACTGGATATTTGTTATGGGCTCAAACAATCATGTATTGATTGCCCAATAATGTTTGTACCATGTCTTTCTTGTGCAGCTACCATGTTGTGTTGCTACCTTGCTGTGTTGTCGTGTGTTGCTGCCATGCTATGTTGTTGTCTTAGGTCTATCTTTATGTAGTGTTGTGTTGTCTCTCTTGTTGTGATGTGTGTTTGGTCCTATATCTATATATTTATTTATTTTTTAATCCCAGCCCCCGTCCCCGCAGGAGGCCTTTTGCCTTTTGGTAGGCATTATAAATAAGAATTTGTTCTTAACTGACTTGCCTGGTTAAATAAAGGTTAAATAAATAATAAATAAATATGAATTTGGGTGAGAGTGGGAGTGGGAGAACGTAGGAAACAGCGGTCCCTAATCCACCAATGGAATGACAGTATAGTCACAAAGGGGGAGAGATTTATCCAATAAGAAGGCCGTTTGTTAGAAGCAAAGCGCATCTTTCCGGACACAAACAACATTAGTGAAAACATGGATGTGGAGAGTGGTATTTGTCAGGGAAACGGGGACTCTGGTCCTAGTGAGTCCGCCATTAAGATCCCCGACAGGATGCTGAAACGGGAACAGGATAGGCTCGAGGACGTGGAGAGAAAGAAAGAGGCGAAAAATAGCCAGTCAGTCACGGAGGAGAAGAGTGGGTTCTTCACCGCGACGTTCGGTAGTGAAAGGGCGGCTATCGAGGAGTTACTGGCGGGCTGCTCGGGGGCTACTGACCGCGCCCTGGCCACCCAAACCTTGGAGGAAGTGACTACTAAAACACAGCACCTCCAGAAGTTTCTAAATGATAGCATGGTGTTTTTACCGCAGTACGAGCTGAGACAGGCCCAGGCGGCGCTCCAGAAACTACAGAACTCTCTGGCCGAGAAGAGAAACGAGATTCTCCCCAAGAAGAAGTTCGCCTTCAGGTCGCGCGCAGCAAATACACCCAAAGTAGACCCACCAGCTCCACCTGTAACACCTAAGGATTCTGGCCGAACTAAAGTGGAAGGAGCCATAAGCCCGCTAGAGCAGTGTGGCTTCTCCCACTTTGAGACCCAGGTAACAGTCCCTAACATAACAACATTAATTAAATCATTTCTTCTGAGAATGTTTGTCTCTAGTCAATTGTGATTTAGATTCTACTCTTTGCAGGTATGTATCTTAAATCTCTGATGACCACTGTTTATTTTTGGCAGGTGCTGACCAAGTCAGGGGAGGAGATTAAACAACAGGACGTTCTACTGACCCACCTGACCAACTGCAAGGTCAGACTCCTGGGCTCCCCCAGCACCGTCCACATCAAACACGTCCAGAACTGTGAAATCTTCTCTGGGCCGGTGTCCAGCTCTGTGTTCGTGGACCACTGCACCGGCAGCACCCTCTCCTTCCCATGCCAGCAGCTACGGACTCACCACACCACCGACACACAGGTCTATCTGCACGTCACCAGCCGCGCCATCATAGAGGACTGTCAAGGGGTGCGCTTCGCCCCCTTTGCCTGGTCCTACCCGGGTCTGGACCAGGACTTCAAGGTGTCTGGTCTGAACCGGGAGAGTAACAACTGGAACCAGGTGGATGATTTTAACTGGCTGGCCTTAGGGACCCAATCTCCTAACTGGTCTGTCATTCCAGAATCTGAGAGAAGAACTGAATGGGACTCCTAGAGACATTAGTATACAAAGAGCATGTCAATAAAACAAATTAAGTTTTCTTATTTTCACTCAGCCCTGATGTGACAAAGCCTTACGCAACTTTGTTTTTCATGTGATTTTATGCTGTGTTGTTCCATAGTATTCCGTAGTTCCATAGATGTCCTGACAGGGTTGACCATAAAAAAATATTATTGGGTAATATTCATGGTAGCGTGCTGCCTGAAATCTTTTTAACATTTCCTCACAGGGAGGAAAAAGTTGACGCATTACTGCTTTCTCACTACCCTACTCTGGGCAATAAACAGAGAATATGTTAACCACATGCAATGTACTGTTACACAGTTCATTACATGTTCATTTCATCAGAAAGGACCACCTTAGTCCTTAAAAGAACTAACAACGCCACCTTATATTTACAAACAGCACTTGTTCTGTCATTATTCTCCCATCTGTAAAGCACTATACACCTCCAATGTATCTGTTCTTCTGACTGTATGTGGTCTGGAGTGATACTAGAGATGTGAATAAAGGGTTTGGCTGACACTCCAACAAATCTGTCAGTTTCTTATGTTTGTCTTTAATTGTGCATGAAATATTTTACTGAAACTGTTAGGGGTGGTTTCCCATATACAGATTATGCCTAATCCTCAAATTCCTAGGCATCTCCATTGAAAATGCTTTTTAGTCCAGGACTAGGCTTAATCTGTGTACGTCCCTAACGGTTTCTTTCCCTCCCTTTCCACATCCTCTCCCCACTCTTCCAATGAGATAGCTAACATGCATTTGAGGTCATTATCATACTGCTGTAGTGACAGTGCTGGTCTCTGCCCTCAGGCACACTAACACCAGTATGCTCCTCTGGTTTCTCTCTGATCTCAGGCTCTGTCACAAGTTCTGCCAACTACTGAAGGTGTCATATCAGGTCTGCTGGCCTGTTGTGCGTCCCAGTGCACGCACAACAGGCCAGCAGACCTTGTATGACACATTCAGTAGTTGGCAGAACTTGTGACAGAGCCTGAGATCAGCGAGAAACCAGCGGAGCATACTGGTGTCAGTCTATCATGTAGTTAATTGAATGCACTGACACAACCACACCCATCTCCTTGCTCTCATATACTGTACCAATCGCAATCCTAACTTTGCTGTGCAGTGAAGAGGCCCCCATTAGAAGTTAGTTATTGGTCTACCAAACTGCCATCAGCATTACACAGATAGTTCAGTCAGTGCAGACACAAACACCTATAGCTACATTTGCCTGCTTCCTTACTACAGGTGAGAGACTGACAGGTTGTTGACTGCTGAGTGTAGGTGGAGCTAAGTGGGTCATGCGGCGACTGTGATTGTTGTAGGAACTACTCTAAGGACCCATTCTTCCAGTCTGTCTGTCTCTGTGAGGGGCTTACATGTTTTTTGGGTGGTTTACTGAATCATCTCAGGTGACTACACTGTAAACATTCTGCCTCGTCTGAACCCAGGGATCCCTTCCAAAAGCGCAGCACGGCGTAGTTCCACATCTCCACTCTCCGTTAACCATTAACTGTCCTCGTTAACGGCCCCCGGTGGGTTCAGTCAGGGTGACCATGACCACGTGAGCATTCAAACCAATTATGTCTCCTGGCAACAGCTTACAGCCAGGCTCATCTTCTGGAGGGGGATTTTTGTAAATGGGATCAGGCTGCTTACAGGGGATTATCATGACGCACCTCCCCTCTGGCTGGAATCTGGAGGATCTTCCTCAAGCCTCTTCCAACCAGCGAAAGGAACATCACGATTAGCCTCAACTGTTGATTTTGATGTTTTTGGAGGGAAAGTTTGGAACCGAGGCGAGGGGGAAAGTGTGACCCTGTGTTCTGTCATCCGTCTGGGTGAGTTTTCTTTTTAGGGTCCTGCCACTATGGGAGAGGAGAGGGGCCTGAAGGAATAACCACACTCCTCTTCCTTGACCTCTGCTCCTTCTCTCTGGGATGGATTACAGATCATTGCCTGAGCTGACAGTCCTTCTCTGCTGGATGAGCTGCAGGAGAGACTGAGAGACGAAAAGAACGGCTGAAACCACCTAACAGGGAATCAACGGATGAAACCGCTTAACGGGAACAGCTGAAACTCTGCTGGCTGGGACATCCAGAAGAACGACCAGACCTCAGAGCTATATCTCATCTCAGTAGTGTATTTTCCTTGTGTATAGGAAGGGAATATCCCTAGGTTGCCACCATGGCACTAATGGTGGTCAAGTTTGACCTGAAGAAGCGGGTGAAGCTAGCCCAGTTCTTATGGCTGATGTACTGGTTCTCAGTGATGGCAGGCGTGCTGGTCTTCAGCATGGGGCTGTTCTTTAAGATTGAGCTGCGTAAGCGCTCAGAGATGATGGACAACAACGAAAGCCACTTCGTCCCTAACTTACTAATTGCCGTGGGGCTGCTGGCCTGTGGGATCAACGCCATGGGAGGCAAGATCTGCTACGACTCCCTGGACCCTATCAAGTTCTCCAGGTGGAAGCCCATGCTCAAATCCTTTCTAGTCTCCTGTGTGGCTTTCAATTGTCTCCTGGTGCTGACGGCTCTGCTCTGCTTCCTGATGAGGATCCCTCTCCAGTTCACGCTGGCCGAGGGCCTGAAGAACGCCCTGAAGTTCTACAAGGACACAGACACGCCAGGACGCTGCTACATGAAGAGGACTTTGGACCAGATGCAGATGGAGTTCCGTTGCTGTGGCAACAACAACTTCAGGGACTGGTTCGAGATCCAGTGGGTCAGCAACCGCTACCTGGACTTCAGCGCCAAGGAAGTTAAAGAGTGAGTCATGATATTAGCAACAGCTCTATGATCAGTTCTATAGCTAACACAACCCTATCCTAACTATTGGCCCACACCAACAAATGGTATGAATGGAGATTGTAGGGTTAGGTTATGGTGAGTTTCCTGTTCTTAATGGGTGTTCATTATAAATGGATTCCAGGTGCATGGAGGCGGGTCGTAAGCAATATAAAAGGGTGTCTTTCCATAATAAGGTAAAGGAGGGATTACAGGATCAGTGGATTTGAGGTTTTAGTGTTAGAGGTGGTGATGGGGCTGTGCGTACGTGTGGGTTGGTTTTCGACTTATGGGAGGTGAGGGGGATTCAGTCATTAGTGTGGAGTAATAACGAAAGTGGTGGCAGGAAGGAAGGTGAGCTTTCTGTGAGAGTTGAAGGGGAATGATGCAGGGGTCCATTTTGCAGTGTATGGGTGTAAGGTGTGTTTGGTTGCAGTTGTTTCAAGTGTTGGTTTTCAGTGTAAGTGATATCAAGTGTGTGGTTGTAAAAAGGGACAGTTTTCATTGTAAGTGTTGTCAGGTGTGCGTGCACCGTGTGTGCGAATGTGTGTGAGCCTGTGAATTCTTAGTGGCTAATATTCTTGGATCACATTTCCTCATCCTTCAGGCTTATGGCCTAACCAATCAGCATGCGGCCTGGTGAGGGTCTGGGAATACACCTGCCTAGAGAGAGACAGAGTTAGCCAATAAGGCCTTGCGTAGAGACAGTGATTGGCCAACCATTCACTTAGAGAATAATTGACCAATAGGGGCTTAGCTAGACACAGTGATTAACCAATAGGACCTCAAGGAGATATTAGCTGCGTGCTCTATTGATTCAGGGTTGATGATGACGATGATGATGATGGGCTATGGACTGTGAAAGGACCACATCTTAGTCCTGCTTAAGTTCCTTAGCTTTCAGGAAACAAATGATCTAAAGCAGGGCTGGCAAACCCTACTCCTGGAGATCTATGCAGATTTTTGGCTCCAGCCCTACTGTAATACACCTGATTCAGCAAATCAAGGTCCTGTTTAGAGTTTCCCATCCCTGGTCTGTGTCAGCGTTATCCTGCAGTGTCAGTATTCCCAACGGAGTATAATTCCATGTTTGTGTTGTTGGGAATGACTGGGAATGATCTGTATCCCTGTCACTCTTTCTCATCTCTGATCCCATCACACCACTCTTTCCATAATCCTAATTTAGAACTGCCCTACACCTGTCAATCACAATTGAAACCCCACCCCCAGCCCACCCAAAGGCCAAATGCACACTTCCTGCTACAGAATCAGAGATTACTGCTGTCACGGTCAGTCCTTTCAGTCTCACTTTGTTAGGATAATCCTCATCTACTCAGACGTTCTACAAACTGCTTGATTGATTACCTGTCACAACAAGGTTTACTACTACTGTATATCCAGCCATCTATTAGCTAGTATGCAGACTAATTCCATTTAGGCAATTCATCCTCATTCGAAGTAATGAATCAATCATCAATTTATGAATACAATTTCAATACATCCTCTGAAATGCCCTCTCAGTGTAGGAGAGGAAAGTAACTCTAGGAGAGAGCATTCGTAAGAGGTGTGCAGCATGATTTTCCATAACCTTTTGCTGTAATTTCTGAGTATTTGGCAGATATACTATATGTGCATCTTTCCAAGGAGGATGTATCCTCCAAGAGTTGCTGAATGTTTTTCTCATCTTCAGTGTGTATATCTGTTTATGTTGGAAAGCGAGGTATAGTGGAAGTATTATTGTTCCTTCCCAATGTGAGCAGAGTTCTTGGCTCATGCACCTTTGTTGGAAAGCAAGTGGCAGTATTAGTTTCTTCCCAAAGCCAGTGTGAAGAGAGCAAAGTGTCCACAGAAGGGAGGGGCTAATGGGGTTAATCCCATTCAAACAGCATGTGAGAGACTGATAGACCTTCATGATCCTCTCTTTACCAGGTAGACAGCATGTGAGAGACTGATTTCAGCTCTGTGTCAGAAACAATGCAAGCTCTGTAAACCCTCTATCATGGACACTGAACAAAAAAGCTGTGTTAGGTTGTGTCAAGGTATGAATGACTTTGTTGTAGATGTTCTTTCAGACTAATACTACCTTTCTAAATACTGGTAGTTCACTAGGACTTCCTCACACTTACAGTACATGATGAAGAATGGATTGGGTAGAGCTTTCATATATTACCCTGACCCTCTGCCCTTTGTCCTCTGACCCCCAGTCGCTTCAGCGGTAATGTGGATGGGAAGTACCCGATGGATGGCTACCTTTTCACTCCCCTAACCCCATAAGACCTTGACCCTAACACACAATGCACTGACCAAAACCCATAATACCCTAACCTCTGTCCTTTGCCTTTTCACCCCCCAGTCGTATCGGCAGCAACGTGGATGGGAAGTACCTGATGGATGCTGTTCCATTCAGCTGCTGTAACCCCAGCTCCCCGCGGCCCTGCATCCAGTACCAGGTGACCAACAACACGGCCCACTACTCCTACGACCACCACACTGAGGACCTGAACATCTGGAAACGGGGCTGCCGTGATGCACTGATATCCTACTACGGAGGCATGATGAACACCATAGGAGCCCTGGTGCTACTGGTCGCTATTCTGGAGGTAAGGAAAATACTCCCTCTCACATGCTTTTTCAAAGGCGTGGGGTGTTTTTTTTGTGATGGCGTTCGTCACTGAGAGTTGACAAAGTTGCCCCAGTTGCCTGGCTAGATCCAGAGCTCCTTGCATGGTGTCCTCCTTTACTCGCAATGTAAATTTGCACACCTCCCTCCACCCCATCCATCCCTCCTGCCTTAGTCATGTTACCAGTTCATGTGTGGGCTGCTGCTACACCTGCTGCTCTCTGCTGTAGAGGCTGCATCACCTGTTAGGCTTACAGCGGTACACATACACACCTGCCAGGTTTACAGTGGTACACATAGACACGCGCGTAGAGGCAGCTTCACCTGTAAGGCTTACAGCAGTAGTACACAGGGCTGGTAACGAGACTTCTGTACTGGTAATCCTGTGGGCCCGTGTGGATGCATGCTTTCACAACAACCAAAGCAGTAACACAGCTGATTAATTAAGACTAACTAAGTCTATATTAAAGAAGATGCTTGGTTGGTTAGTTGAATCAGGTTTGTTACTGGTTTTGGCTGGCGCATAAATCTGCAACTGCCACCTGCCTACGCAGACAAAAAAGCAAAATGGCTGCCCTTGAACATGTGCTGTTTGTCTCTTTGTGCAACTCGCTCTTTTCAGAATAAATTAACTGAAGAAGTATGAGAGAAGTGTTACTATAAATGTTTTGCTGTTTTGGTGTTTGTAAAACACATATTACTACGGACAGCAAATCTCTGTTCTATAAATATTACAGTACTTAATGTGTCTTGAAAACCTAGACTTGTCTAAGACTCAATCTGCTGAAGCTTATCAGGGACAAAAACAACCAGAGCTATCTCCTACCTGGAATAACCATGGTTACGCAACTGTCTCCATGGTATTACCTTACCGATAGCCTTGTGAGAGGTGGAGTGATATCTTAATTTGGGGGAGGGACCAATTATAAACCACTTTCTGGAAATCAGACTCCTGATCTAATGCTGGGGGTTATAAAATGACCAATCAGAAACACAGATAGTGTAGAGGTAAAAAATACATTTATTTGGTTGTGTACACTATGCTACTACATTAGCAAACTTATGATTGCTTTTGCTTGTTGTTGCTTTCCCTGTCAGTGTGATTCTGTCTGTTTTTAGCTAACTCCTTGCTTCAGACTGGTTTGATGTGTTTATGTGGAACATAGGCGAGGCTACATATTCAGTTGTTAAATGCTGATTGGTGTGATCCATTGCCTATAGCTGTTAGTGCAGGCTGATGTGTCTATCTCTTTCTGGGTCTACCCCTGTAGGTTGGTCAATGTAGGGTTAGATTTAGTTATGGTGGGTTTTCACTTCCAGTACATGAGCATGTTGCTGAAGCTAGATCTTACCTCAGGCCAGGTGTAGCTCTTCACACACGCTAGCTGTTAGTCTTAGCCCAGGCTAGCTGTAACTAATATGTCTCTCTTTATCCTCTGTAGGTTATTGTGATGATCGGCCTCCAGTACGTGAACACCTCCCTGTCCAACCTGGTCAACCCAGAAGACCCAGAGAGCGAAAGCGAAGGCTGGATCCTGGAGAAGACGGTGAAGGAGACGTTTACTGACATCATGGACAAGATGAAAGCCATGAGCAAGGGTAACACAGTGGAGGAGGGCGGAGTGGATGGTGTTGCCACGGTGAGCTGATCAAGATACGCCACACAAACTGAGACCACTCCCACCGAAGGGAAGAGAGGGAGATTGACCACCTCCTTTGCATTTATTACACAAAATACAGTGCCTTGCAAAAGTATTCATCCCCCTTGGCGTTTTTCCTATTTTGTTGCATTACAACCTGTAATTTAAATTGATTTTTATTTGGATTTCATGTAATGGACATACACAAAATAGTCCAAATTGATGAAGTGGAATGAAAAAAATAACTTGTTTCAAAAAATTCTAAAAAATAAATCACGGAAAAGTGGTGCGTGCATATGTATTCACCCCCTTTGCTATGAAGCCCCTAAATAAGATCTGGTGAAACCAATTACCTACAGAAGTCACATAATTAGATTGCACACAGGTGGACTTTATTTAACTAAGTGTCACATGATCTCAGTACATATACACCTGTTCTGAAAGGCCCCAGAGTCTGTAACAGCACTAAGCAAGGGGCACCACCAAGCAAGCAGCACCATGAAGACCAAGGAGCTCTCCAAACAGGTCAGGGACAAAGTTGTGGAGAAGTAACTGACGTGGTCCTCTGTAGCTCAATTGGTAGAGCATGGCGCTTGTAACGCCAGGGTAGTGGGTTCGATCCCCGGGACCACCCATACGTAAAAATTTATGCACACATGACTGTAAGTCGCTTTGGATAAAAGCGTCTGCTAAATGGCATATTAAGTACAGATCAGGGTTGGGTTCTAAAACAATATCCAAAACTTTGAACATCCCACGGAGCACCATTAAATCCATTATTAAAAAATTGAAAGAATATGGCACCACAACAAACCTGCCAAGAGAGGGCCACCCACCAAAACTCACGGACCAGGCAAGGAGGGCATTAATCAGAGAGGCACCAAAGATAACCCTGAAAGAGCTGCAAATCTCCACAGCGGAGATTGAAGAATCTGTCCATAGGACCACTTTAAGCCGTACACTCCACAGAGCTGGGCTTTACAGAAGAGTGGCCAGAAAAAAGCCATTGCTTAAAGAAAAAAATAAGCAAACACGTTTGGTGTTCACCAAAAGGCATGTGGGAGACTCCCCAAACATATGGAAGAAGGTACTCTGGTCAGATTAGATTAAATTGAGCTTTTTGGCCATCAAGGAAAACACTATGTCTGGCGCAAACCCAACACCGCTCATCACCCCGAGAACACCATCCCCACAGTGAAGCATGGTGGTGGCAGCATCATGCTGTGGGGATCTTTTTCATCGGCAGGGACTGGGAAACTGGTCAGAATTGAACGAATGATGGATGGCGCTAAATACAGGGAAATTCTTGAGGGAAACCTGTTTCAGTCTTCCAGAGATTTGAGACTGGGACGGAGGTTCACCTTCCAGCAGGACAGTGACCCTAAGCATACTGCTAATACAACACTCGAGTGGTTTAAGGGGAAACATTTAAATGTCTTGGAATGGCCTAGTCAAAGCCCAGACCTCAATCCAATTGAGAATCTGTGGTATGACTTAAAGATTGCTGTACACCAGTGGAACCCATCCAACTTGAAGGAGCTGGAGCAGTTTTGCCTTGACGAATGGGCAAAAATCCCAGTGGCTAGATGTGCCAAGCTTATAGAGACATACCCCATGAGACTTGTGGCTGTAATTGCTGCAAAAGGTGGCTCTACAAAGTATTGACTTTGGGGGGGTGAATAGTTATGCATGCTCAAATTCTCTGTTTTTTTGTCTTATTTCTTGTTTGTTTCACAATAAAACATATTTTGCATCTTGAAAGTGGTAGGCATGTTGTGTAAATCAAATGGCCCAAAAATCCATTTTAATTCCAGGTTGTAAGGCAATAAAATAGGAAAAATGCCAAGGGGGGTGAATACTTTCGCAAGCCACTGTACACACATACACAAATATGCGCACAACACACACGATTTTGGCCATCTGAAGGGATAACTAAAATGGACACAAATGGACAGATCTTGAGTATGCCAGGATAGGATATTTTGAATGTGTGAATGTATGTGTAATTTATACAGTATTATAACCAATTGATAAATGTACTTTCCAATATGCCCTCCTCCACCCCAATACACACACACACACACTCACACACAATACACTTTTTCTAAACCTCATAATTTTTCCAGACACACACACTCCCTCCAACCCTAGTTTTGTTAATCTGCAAAGCAGTTCCCATTTGATGGGATGCTCTCTGTGTGTTTTCTTACATTCTGTATAATTCTGCTCTATTTCATGTTCATATTTTACAACTTTATTTTTACCCCATTTTTTATAAAACGAGGGGAAAAACAACAACACTATCCACTGTCATGAAAATGCATAATGTCAGATGTTTTGCATTGTATTGAGAATATGTATATTAACAGGTTAAGAGTAAGGTCAGGAAAGCAGGTATGTTGTGTTTTATGGATGGTGTGGGGCTGGTGGTTGCTATGCAACCCCCCATCCCAGAGAGGAGGTTAAAGTGGAAAGGTTAATTCATAGCCCAAGGAGCAGAGAGTTTTATCTTAAAACATTTTTACCCACCTGTAGCGCACTTTATTGTTGTTGTTGATAATTCATAGCAAATTCCAAAGAAATGGACTGAAACACCTCAGACATCACCTCTTTAAAGTCCTTCATCTCCTACCATTAACTTGAGGGATGGAGGGGGGCTGGAGACTCCTGGGGTAGAGGAGGTGGAAACATTTCACCCTAACCTGATGGTGTTGAAGTTTGGGGTGCACGGCTGGAGGTTTGGAGGGGCTATAGGAGACAAGGCGCGGGTGAAAGTGGCAGAGGTGAACCAGGAGTGACCCCAAAACTTGAGGAGGACATTTGAGATTGGCAGCTAAACCCCTGACCTCCGACGCCTGAACTCTGACCCCAGCCCCTGCTCTGTGAGGTCACTCAGCAGGTCCAATCAGCATTTATCTTATTGGACCGTCGAGAGCTACTGTATATATCACACTCACTGAGTTCCTGTACATACCACAACCTCACACTCATAGGCCAACACCCAGGCTACTGTTGTCTTTGTAAATAGTCTAGTATTGATACATAACTTTTTTAAACAATGTAATTAATCTAAATTATTTTATTTACTGTAAAGAAAATGTGTTTTGCTATGGGAAATCAATCTGGTTTTCTTTCTGTATGTTGTGTAGAAAGATGATAAGACCATTGTGTAAATTTGAATAAAGGAAGCTAGCCCCATGAAGTAGAGTGTTGTTGTGTTGTTTCTACTTAAGACTGATCAGAGATCAAACAGCAATGCCTTCTGGGAACTCAGCGGGGCACCTGATTTAGCCATTTGGATCAGGGTAATCATCAGATTATCACGATCACATGGACACAGGACAACCCTGCACATGGAGGCTGAAGGACAAAGGTGTGTGTGTGTTCTGTGATTTTAGATTACAAAAATTGCAACTTCCTATCTATTACTTTCTACGTGTTTCTATTTGTTAGGCAAACAAAGGATCCACAATTAACTACATTACAAATTCCAATGTCATCATTCAAACACCTTTGCAAGACTTGATCTGACATTGAATTGTGACATCTATTGTCAAATTTTCTAATTGTCTGTATGACATTATGTGATTGTCTGTGTCCAGTGGTAAGCAGTAAATCTTATAAATCTATAAACTGACTAGACAACGGCAGAGCCCAGTCATTCATCTGAGCATTCAATGACCAACAGAGATACTACAACGTTATTCATCTATAGGCGATCATCACATATTTTGTCAAGTAAGTCGCCAACCAGTGCCATGGGGCCAAATTCTGTTTTACTTGGCCATATATTTATAATCGGCATATACCAGTGCCTTCAGAAAGTATTTATACCCCTTGACTTTTTCCTAATTGTATTGTGTTACAAAGTGAGAACCTTGATTTGTACCACCAATCAAGGTTCTTTATTCCAGGTTAAGTCAGAGGGGAGACCAATAGAGGGCTATATGGAGGGCAGGACAACAGTAGTTGTTATTTTGGTATTGTGCTGGACCAGGTATAATGGGGTAGTTAGCTAGTGAGTGGGGTCCTGAGGGGTAGTTAGTGGGTGTGTGGGGTAGTTGCAGGCACCGGTAAAGAGGCCAATAGGAGGTAGTATTGTGGTTAACCAGCTGCTCTGAGCAGATGAAAGGCCTAAAGAAGCTTTAGATTAATATTATTAGACATCAGCCTGGAGAACAGCTGAACATACATCACTGAGGGAGGGAGGGTGATGGAGGAGGGGGGGCGGGAGACGGAGAGTGAGATGGGGTGAGGACTGGAGAGTGTGAGGTAGAGAGAGAGGTTCTCACTATGCTCAAAGCCAGAGCACGCTGCTTAGACCACTGCGCCACGGCAGTTCACAATTGTCTAGCAAGCAGTGAGAGTACTTGATGATACTAAATGGAAACAGCGATTTTTAAAAATACTTTTGTTTTATCCTTTCCCCAAACCATAGCCCTAACCTTAACCATTCGGAATCAACACCTCAAGTTAACCCTTTGAGTTGCTTCTGTTTTAACCCTGTAACCAAGTGGAATGAACCCTGTAACCATGCGTAATTAATGGATCAAAAATCGAAGTTCATCCAATTACGTAAAATCTAATCTAGGCTATACAGGTGTTTCAGGATTAGGGTGGGGTAAAGTGAGTTAGAGTGGGTAAAGTGGGTTAGTGCTAGATGGATCAGGTGGGTTTATGGTTAGTGAAAGGGTAGCTGAAAGGTGTGTAGTAGGCAGGGGTAAAAGTAAGCCAAAACTGTCCAGTACTGGCAAAATAAATAGTGGGGGTACGCTATACCAGTAAAACATTAGCCTTTTCACTATAATTAAAACATAGATTCCAATAAAACTGTAGGCTGTTGCACTATTTATCATTACCGCATGTCAGCGAATAAACGTGTCGAATACGCTCCAAAATGCTATGTGCATTGAAACAGAAGTCTTTGTCAAGGCATACTGAGATGAGATGTATGTGGGCAATGTATAGGCTACAATTCAGGTTACAAGACTTGTCTAGGCCTAATGAAT